TTTCATGAAAATATTTGCCAAATACTCAGTATATATTCATTTATACATATCGTGCAAGACTCTTTTTTAAATAATTGTCATATACCATTTATTTAAATTATTCGAACATTTAATTGTATGAAAAGTCAATAATGTACATTTCTTAAAACTTTATTATCTTGTTTGCTTGTCTTTCTTCCTGTGAGAGAAATAGTTCATAATATTAATAAACAGATGTACTCAGTATCGGTATCAAATTACAGAATGAACAGCGATTGGTCTCAAAAGAAAAACGGATCTTTGAAAGTTCCGGTGCCTAGGAGAAGTAAGCTTCTCCAATGACAGGTCACACCTGCTGACCGGCAATGAGCCTACGAAACTGAAGCTCTCTGAAATTAATTAATTCTCTGCTCGTCCATCCGTTTTTCTCAGACTAGCCAGCTAAAGATCTATGTACAGTACTCCAAATCAATTAATCTAAAGAATTTGAATTATCATTTTTTCTTTTTGAGTTGTTTGCTATAGTAGCCTTTACAGTTACCTAATTTCAGAATCAATAGAGCATGAAAGCCAATTAAATTTGCAACATCAACATAATTTTTTTTTCGTTCTGAGCACGTTTGGACGCCACCAATGGAGACAATTGGGGAGAAATTTTTGAAATTGAACTTCCTGTCTTTCAAACTAAAAGTCTCAGGTTGATATTTTGAAACAAACATTTGTGACATCAGTCTGGAATGTTATTGGTTATACCATTTAGTTAAGTACTACAAAATTTAGTGTGTCTGCTTCTTCGCTGATGACATTGGGAAAAGATATGCATGCCTACTTTAATAGCATCATTCAATGCATTTTTTGTTATTGTACACTGTACATATTCGATGAAAGCATGCTAACCGCTTTTCAGTACTTTGATTTAAAATCTCATATATGTTACGTTTTAGTGCAAAAACGTCACACAATAATTTACGCGCATTAATTTGCAAAATTTGTTCAATTAATAATGTTTTTAAGTTTTGTGTGAGTTATTGCATGGTGTGTGAATCACACAGACTTGTCATAGGCATATTTTATGAAGCGCGCTAATAAATATAATTTTATTTTACGTAAAAAACTGATTATTTAAACTATTTTGTGTCGAGATCATTATTATATTGTTCGTTGTAACATAGTGTAGATTCCTAATTATACGCGAGGAATTAATTTCCGCGTAATTTCGCGATAAGCATCGTTCGCAAAAAAAATATTTCTCGTTTTTATTTTTATGGTGCTGAAATCTATGTACATTTTTAAGGAATCACTGTCTAGTTCGTATAGTATGCCAGGGCATCAACGATAGTGGGAAACATGGGATAATTTGCATAACGGGCGAAGCCCGTTATGCTTAAATTATCCCATGTTTCCCACTATCGTTGATGTCCCTGGCATACTATACGAACTAGACAGTGATTCCTTATATTTCCGTTTCACTGTGAAATAAAATTGTATATTTATATTTTTAAAATGTTGACATAGATTTAAACTACATGAAGACTCCCTTGCCATTTTCCATAGCCCTCTCCCACTGACGTCAAACACAATTGCAGCCGCACGAGATTTTCATGCATATTTGGCATCCTTCGCCTCAGACACAGAGACAGATGCGCACGAGATTTGCATGTATATTAAGCCTCCCCAACTCCTGACCTTTCGACCTGCCTAATTTACATTCCGACAGGTTTATCAATAAATTAACTCCGCTAAATTTCAAAGAGTTATCACAGAGACAAAAATAAGAAATGGAAATATTACTTGATCAACCGTCCATTCGCAAATTATAATTCTCGCGTTATGAAGTTAAAGAGCCAGTTCGCGGAAAAAAGCACTCGCGAAAAATAAGGAATTTACAGTAGCTAATATGTACGTAATTTTTCTTAAGGTTTAATTTGTAGGGGTTCAAAACATTAATTCATTCAGACCATAGCAGGCCTAATATTATGCCTATATATCGAACAAGAGGCCCAGAGGCCACAGCGCTCACCTGAGCACATCGGCTAGGAAAAAGCACATATCAGATCAGAACGGAAAGTTTACTGAGGTGATGGTGGGGGGAAAGGGGGCTTGAATTTTAACCCCCCCCAGGGGTTCATGATTTGAACTAGAATCTACACTACCTTAGGATGATTCCATATAAATATCACTGATCATGGCTTTGAAGTACTTGAAAAGAAGATTTTAAATATATTGGTTTCCCAATATATCCCTATGTAAAACTTGGGTCGGCCATTTTGGCCCCACCCTAGCCCAAGGAGTCATGATTTGAACAAACCTGAATCTACACTATCTGAGGATAATTTCACACGAGTTTTATCTTTCCTGTCTCAATGGTTCTTGAGAAGAAGATTTTTAAAGATTTTTCCTATATCTTCCTATGTAAAACATGGGTCGGCCATTTCGGCCCCGCCCTAGCCCCGGGGGTCATGATTTGAACAAATTTGAATCTACACTACCTCAGGATGATTCCACATGAGTTTTATATTTCCTGGCCCAGTGGTTCTTGAGAGGAAGATTTTTAAAGATTTTTCCTATATATTCCTTTGTAAAACTTGGGTCGGCCATTGTGGCCCCACCCTAGCCTGGGGGGTCAAGATTTGAACAAACTTGAGTCTACACTACCTGAGAATGATTCCACATGAGTTTCATCTTTCCTAACCCCGTGGTTCTTGAGAAATTTTTAAAGATTTTTCCTATATATTCCTATGTAAAACTTGGGTCGGCCATTTTGGCCCCGCCCTAGCCCCAGGGCTCATGATTTGAACAAACTTGAATTTTCACTACCTAAGAATGATTCCACATGAGTTTCATCTTTCCTGTTCAAGTGGTTCTTGAGAAGAAGATTTTTAAAAATTTTTCCTATATATTCCTATGTTAAACTTGGGTTGGCCATTTTGGCCCCACCCTTGCCCCGGGGGTCATCATTTGAACAAACTTGAACCTACACTACCTGAGGATGATTCCACATGAGTTTCATCTTTTCTGGCCCAGTGGTTCTTGAGAAGAAGAAATTTTTAAAGATTTTTCCTATAAATTCCTATGTAAAACTTGGGTCGGCCATTTTGGCCCCACCCTTGCCCCGGGGGTCATGATTTGAACAAACTTGAATCTACACTACCTGAGGATGATTCCACATGATTTTCATCTTTCCTAGCCCAGTGGTTCTTGAGAAGAAGATTTTTAAAGATTTTTCCTATATACTACTATGTAAAACTTTGATCGGCCATTGTGGCCCCACCCTAGCCTGGGGGGTCAAGATTTGAACAAACTTGAGTCTACACTACCTGAGAATGATTCCACATGAGTTTCATCTTTCCTAACCCCGTGGTTCTTGAGAAATTTTTAAAGATTTTTCCTATATATTCCTATGTAAAACTTGGGTCGGCCATTTTGGCCCCGCCCTAGCCCCAGGGCTCATGATTTGAACAAACTTGAATTTTCACTACCTAAGAATGATTCCACATGAGTTTCATCTTTCCTGTTCAAGTGGTTCTTGAGAAGAAGATTTTTAAAAATTTTTCCTATATATTCCTATGTTAAACTTGGGTTGGCCATTTTGGCCCCACCCTTGCCCCGGGGGTCATCATTTGAACAAACTTGAACCTACACTACCTGAGGATGATTCCACATGAGTTTCATCTTTCCTGGCCCAGTGGTTCTTGAGAAGAAGAAATTTTTAAAGATTTTTCCTATAAATTCCTATGTAAAACTTGGGTCGGCCATTTTGGCCCCACCCTTGCCCCGGGGGTCATGATTTGAACAAACTTGAATCTACACTACCTGAGGATGATTCCACATGATTTTCATCTTTCCTAGCCCAGTGGTTCTTGAGAAGAAGATTTTTAAAGATTTTTCCTATATATTCCTATGTAAAACTTGGGTCGGCCATTGTGGCCCCACCCTTGCCCCGGGGGTTATGACTTGAACAAACTTGAATCTACACTACCTGAGGATGCTTCCACATGAGTTTCATCTTTCCTGGCCCAGCGGTTCTGGAGAAGAAGATTTTTTAAAAATGCCATTAATTTTTAACAAATTCATGATTATCTCCCCTTGGAAAAGGGCGTGGCCCTTCATTTGAACAAACTTGAATCCCTTTCACCTAAGGATACTTTGTGGCAAGTTTGGTTGAAATTGGCCCAGTGGTTCTTGAGAAGAAGATGAAAATGTAAAAAGTTTACGACGACAACGACGGACAAATTTTGATCAGAAAAGCTCACTTGAGCCTTCAGCTCAGGTGAGCTAATAAAAAGCATTACAGCTGATCAGAAACTAGAGGAAATGTGAACACGGAGCTCACTTGCTCCTTCGAACGGTCCCTGCAAATTTCTCTGGGCTATATAACTTTTGTTATTGGGAAACAATAAAAGCTCATACTTGGTATGCAGTCTCAGCTTGCTTAATTTAATTATCATCCTGCAGAATGTATTAAAATTAACCCTATTATTAGGTTATTATGCGGCAAGTTCAAGGTGACTGACAGTAAAAATATAAATTCCCCCATGCTTATACATTTACTACTCATTTGACCTTGTATTGGAGTTTATTTATCACCAGAAAATCAAACAAAATACAAAGATTGTTAAACCCCTTGACAAGAGTTGTTACGACCTTGATCCAAGGTTATTCAAGTAGGTTCAAAGTGGCTGGTGGAAAAAATACTGGAAGCTTATACTTGGTAAAGATTGCTTTTCATTAAGTTCTGACCCAGGGATAAATAATTAGGCCATTCAATCACATTTAAGTCACAGGTACAAGTATAAAACTCTAGCCTGGACTCTAACACTGGAATCGAGAATCATCAGATGCTCAGACTTGGTACAAAGACTGCCAACATTCTTTGGATTTGTAATGACCTTAATACACCATCCTTTCTGTAAGTTCAAGGTCAATTAATGGCAGAAAAGTAAAAAAAAAATCTTCCTGACTTAAACTTTGTAGGGTCATTACAAGATATACAATAAAACTCAGAAAACAGATAGTGGTAATATCTTTTAATAGACTTTGAATAAAAATAATATTATAAATTGATGAGTCATGAACAGGGATTAATATATAAACATGTATAAACACTGTATAAAATTAATATCACAGACAATATTTCAGAAAAAAATTATTCACAAAAAAAACTTCCTATGACCCTTTTTCCCTTGTTTCAACTTAAGTTTAATTAAAAGTCAATCATTTTCTTGACAGAATATATTTTACCATAGGAACTAAAACCCCTCAGAAGCTTGTATATGTATATAAGGCTTTCTGTAGGCATATCAGTTAAATATGAGCCATGCAAAACAGCATTAAGTAATGTTCTGGGTTATAATATGGTGTATAATCAGATGTGGTGTCATTGTTTTACAACTCTTGCATAAAGTCCTGCCAGTTGCATTCTAATGAAATTAGTAATACTTTTTAAAATAAAAATAATCTTAACTTTTCCAAATTATTAAAAAAAAAATATCAGGGTTATACTGTAAATGATACAGTTATTGTGACCTTTCTCCGTTACTACTAAAAAAAATCTTCAATCCCTTTATCTATTTTCATTCAATAGTCATGACCAAGGTTGTTCAAGTTTTTTGAAAAGTGGGTCAAATTTCAAGGTCAAAGTCACAGGGACATGCATATTCACATGCATGCAAGTATTTCATAAATACATGTATATAATTGTGAAATAAATTAATGAATCTACATAAGAATCAGCCAATATCAGGATTTTTCCTCCATGTGTAAAAGTTCCTCTTTACTATGTCCCTCTGGAATGTCAAGGTCAAACACAATAGGTGAATTGGTGGGTTTGTATCTCCTTGTACAGGTTGAAGCATTGATAAAGGTCGTGAACCCATCAGAAGTCATCCCATAACCTACAAAAATATCATTGTCATTAAATGTGCAAATCTCATTTTTTTGATAAAGAAGTTCAGAACAACAGGTCTGTTAACATGGTTAAAACTATAAATGGCAGCATGCAGCAGCCAATGAATATTTCAGAAAAAATAGGCCTATCCTTTAATATAAAGAATCTATATTCACGAATGAGGCAATTTCTGGCTACTAGAATTTCTTACTTTCATGAATGTGTCCAAACACATGGTACTTTGGTTTGACACGTTTCTGTACTGTATTGAGGAGCTCCACACAGCCTACATTATTGTTACCACCGGTCAGGTCCCCATGTCCTGTTAGAATAATTACAGGTGAGTCATTTCATCATAGAGACCAGAAAGGTCCGAAAATACCATTTCTCAGATAAGAAAAACATATATAGGCCTAATATGTATACTGTACATGCCAATTTATGAAATTAATGCAGCTTTAGGGTCTAGCATGTCCTGTTATTTTGACCAGAGGAGAGCTAAGGTGTTTCAAATCTTTTCACATAATTAAATAATCTATTCACTCAGGATCTTACCACAAGGAGGGGTATGGGTCATTAAAATATCAGTATTTTCTGGTATTTTGTCCCAACATTTCTTTAATCCTGCTCCCCTACGCGGCTGAAAAGCCATTCCCTTGAAGTGCTTTGGTGACCTGCATATACAGAAACGCAGTCAAGAAATTCTCTTTTTTAAAAGTGATCCAAAGGTATTAATAGAAAATTAGCATGATATAAACCATTTTGTGTTCAAAACTATTAATTTTGCATACCTGTAAGACTGTGTTGGTTGCTTCAGGTTACATGTATCCCATCTTGAGACCCCCCCCCCCCCCCATTACAAGACATTAACTAAAATGTTTAAATTCTGTTTGTATGCACTGGGATTGAAATGAGCTCAATCATTGCTCATGTATAATGTAATAATGGTGTTTGTCAACTTACTGATAATTGAGCGAGCATATTTTATACATATACCAGTTGCAACATTTAAATATTATTTGTTTACTACAAAGGATTGGTATATATACAGGCAGAGGGGAATTCTACACAATCAGCAAGCACAAATCTAGCACTTCAAGAGAACAGCTTTTAGTTGGTCTGATATTTTATATGTTAAGGAATCCAAAGTGCAATGAGACTCCATAGTCTGATGGTCACGCTGTTGTGTGATAATCTGTGCCAAACCATGATGGTTAAAAACACCAAAGTCTGATGATGCAGAAAACAATAAATGTTTACAACCGTTATAGGACTACAGCACAAAAATGCAATGCCAAGGTCCCATTGTATAAAATAAATGCAATGAATATTAACTGCGAAGACTAACTCTCATCTTTTGAATAGACGCTACAGTCAAAAATATGTATCAATTTTAACTTGAATATCTTGGGTGAGTGCTGGACTAACCCAATTCAGTTGAATAGTCTGTGAGGACTAACACTTAATCTCTCAGAGGGGTTCAAAGTAACACATTATCAGTCCAAAAGTGTTCAAGGACTAATCTTAACTAAGGGTAGTTTCTCTGGTTGGTGCAACCAATTAGCAAAATCAGTAAAATTGTATGAATAGGACAATTGCAGAACTGATGGCTTTTGAATGCAGGACAATGGCGTCAAATTATAGTGATGTCATAAATGTTAAAATTATAGTGATGTCATAAATGTTGATTATTTTTTGGCGTTTCAGACCATTGCACTTAAGCATGTCGCTTCTTGGTGGAAGCCAGCCATCAGATTTTGGCATCCGTCAGAACAGCATGCAATTGGGATTTGGCGCAGACTATTGCACTTTGGCATCATATCGCACTTTGGAGTCTTACATTACATGTACAAAGAAAGTTACAAAGAGGTCTTACCAACTGGGGGTCCATGTGTTATGAGGATATCAGTGTCAGCTGGGATTTTCTGCCATTTCTCTAACAGTTCCTTCCCTCTATTCACATTGAAACCCCAGTTACAAAAGACAGGTTGCCTGCAAGCGAGTTAATATCACACAATTTTTCTTTTTTTGTCTGAATCTGAGATACATGTGCAAGTTATCAATTAATTTAAAAAAAAACTATTTTAAATGAGTGCTTGCTGACCGTATACAATTCTTTATATTTTATTTTGAACTCGCTTGTAAAATTTAATTGCATATTGAATACTTTCGATCACTTTTTTTTTTTAGAGAGAGAGCTTTATTTTTGCATAAATACACGAGCATGTTGACTGCTTGCAAAAATTACTTTCTCACATTTAAGTAAAGATTATATATGTATATACCCGGTACAACAAAGACCATACCTCGCGAAAAATTTTTGTCTCACTTACAAATATTAAATAATTTTCTTGTGAAAAATATGTTGTCATGAATATATGCAGTATTCTTCTGAAAATCTTAAAAGATATTAATTTTTTAGCAATTATAGAAATAAATGTTTATGGTGAAAAAAAAATGACTATGACACTATGACTTACCAGGGTGCACCATAGACCTTGATCCCACAAATACTGACTGAAGAATCTAGGAGATAGATGGCATTTGTTAACATTTTGCTGACAGATTTAAGTCCCCTGGCTTTAAGGTAAGACTCTATCTCAGATTTTCGCAATCCAAATGACAACAGAGTTGAATCACTGAGCTCTTCATCCAAAGTTAAATCATGGTTTCCAGCTACAAGGATCTTTAGTTGGTATGGCAGAGAACCTGTAGTATATTTAAATAACAATATGGATAATTATTACTCATAATAGTTTCAAACAATAACATTAAAATGGCATCATATAAAATGTAATTTTATTTACATGTACTCCAGTGCATTTCTAGTGTTAAAATCCTCATCTTTATAAAAACAGACACCTACATGTATATATATATATATATATATATATATATATATTTATCTCATACGTGTTGGTGATACAGGCCGTTGGATAAACTTGTGCTTTATCAACGGGTAGATGCTTTATCAATAGCACTTCCGGTTTTGACACGATCCCTCGCTTCAAGATTTTATTTTATTGAAACTTTTATTTGTGAAAATTGTTGCCCTTATAAAATGAATGTTAAAGAGTAGTTATATCGTAAAAAGCAAGAAAAAGACTGGTATATGTCAAAGAAGTGTCTTATTTTATCAAGGAACCCGTTGGCTATTTGAAGACAGATGTTAACACCCCCCCCCCCCCTTAAATCGTTTTCGGAGAAAGTAAAGCCTACCAGTTAACTTGTTGTTATGAGACTCCTTTGACATCTTTAACAATGCTTTCTTATATTATACTACGTATGCCTACCTAGTAATCTAGGTGTAACTTACCATGGATCAGCAAACAATCTAGACAAAGTCTAGGCCCCTAGCCTTGCCTAGCACGATTTGTACTGTCATCGTAAAAAGAGTTGATTTTCACGATCCCCATAGTCCTAACAACTTTCAGTCAGAAGTTCGTTTGATGTACAGCTCCAACAATTGTCACATGATGTTTTCAAAGACACAGATATCAACGGTGCTACGTCATCAAGTTATACGTCATCAATTTGATTTTGGCAGTCATTCATGTAGTTTCGCAGGGGAAGTCTCAAAGTTTTGTTAAAATTAAAGTCGTATGAGATAAATAGAACATCTATAATTGTGTGATTTGATATTGGCTTTATCCAACTCGTTGAAATGGTGTATATTCGCTCGGCAAGCCTCGCGAATATATACACCATTTCAACTCGTTGGATAAAGCCAATATCTATATACCTGATGTAATTAAAAAAAAATCATACAGAACTGGTTTAATATTACATAAAGTAAAAGTTTATGAAATAAGAAGTTTTTCCCTTAATGAAGGTTAATATAATACATGTATTTATCTCATACGTGTGGGTGATACAGGCCGTTGGATAAACTTGTGCTTTATCAACAGGTAGATGCTTTATCAATAGCACTTCCGGTTTTGACACGATCCCTCGCTTCAAAATTTTATTTGAAACTTTTATTTGTGATCCCTATTATTGCCCTAATAAAATGAATGATAAAGAGCGATAACATCGTTAAAAGCAAGAAAAAGACTCGTATATGTCAAAGAAGTGTCTCATTTTATCAAGGAACCTGTATTGGCTACTTGAAGACAGATGTTACCCCCCCCCCCCTTTAAATCGTTTTCGGAAAAAGTAAAGCCTACCAGTTAAGTTGTTGTTATAAGATTCCTTTAACATCTTCAATAATGCTGTCTTATATTATACTACGTATGCCTACCTAGTAACGTAGGTGTAACTTACCATGGATCAACAATGAATCTACCAGTAGGCCCCTAGCCTTGCCTATCACGTTTTGTACTGCCATCGTCCAAACGAGTTCATTTTCATGATCCAATGGTCCTTACAACTGTCAGTCAGAAGTCCGTTCGATGTAAAGCTCCAGCAATTGTCACATAATGTTTTCAAAGACGCAGATAGCAAAAATTCTAAATTTTGAACAAGATCTACTTTCTTTCGAGGGATGTCAACATCAACGGTGCTACGTCATCAAGTTGTACGTCATCAATTTGAATTTAGCAATCATTCATGTAGTTTCGCAGGGGAAGTCTCAAAGTTTTGTTAAAATGAAAGTCGTATGAGATAAATAGAACATCTATAATTGTGTAATTTGATAGTGGCTTCATCCAACTCGTTGAAATGGTGTATATTCACTGGGCAAGCCTTTTGAATATATACACCATTTCAATTCGTTGGATAAAGCCAATATCAAATCACACAATATAGATATCCTCTATATATAAATATAGCACTTCTATTTTCTCAGACACATCCAATTTGAAATACAAAGTTACATCCCTTTTTACAAAATGATCAATACCTAAGTAGGAGTTAAATTTCTCTATCTCTGTAAGATTTCCTCTCATTGTGAAGTCCCCAGCATGAAGAAGCACGTCTCCTGCAGGCATACGTAACCCTGACCTCTCAATCTTCCCGTGGGTGTCAGAGATACAGACAAACCTGATCTTGTCGGGGGTGACAGGGGTGACCGGGTCTGGGTGGGGACATCGGATGTGCTGCTGGTGGATCCGAATTCTCTCCCAGGCCTTTGTTGGATTTGCTGTGTCTTTGTCAACCGTTATTTCTTCACTGCCTGACATCATTTAGATTCCTATAAACATAGAGTGTAAAATCAGATATATGTATATCTATTATAGTACTACATGGAATTTAATAATAAAGAAATCCTTTAAAGATTAGTAAAAAATTAAAGCAAATGTTTTACATGACTTTAGCTATATTACCTAGAGATACTGTGAGCACTATGGTTTTGGAAACCCGAAATAAGTGTCAGATCATAAGTGAAACAGGAGGAGCACAATATGTAATAAAATTACCCATACACGTAATCGGGAGAATGCAACTGACTAGACTGGGATTCAAACCCGAGCTCCAGTCAGGTGCTCTACCAACTGAGCTACCGCTTATCAAATCAGTCTGACTACCCCATTCCTCCCTCCTGAGGGAGGAATGGGGGTAGTCAGAGTGATTTGATCAGTTTAAGGACGGAGGAATGGGGTAGTCAGACTGATTTGATAACCGGTAGCTCAGTTGGTAGAGCACCTGACTGGAGCTTGGGTTTGACCTTTAAGTTAAAGGTCTATGACCCCAAAAGTCAACAACCCAGACTCTTCCTTAACTGGTATGTCTTTAGTATGCTTCCAGAGCATGGCAATTTGGCACCAAATTTAATGCAATTTAAGAGGAGAAAAATGCAGCGGACAAAACGGTGGACACCCTATAAAGTCTCAAGTCAGGTGCTCTACCAACTGAGCTATCGCCAACAGTGATCAAACCCACCTGACCACCACACATGCATATATTCTGTGGTCTACTAATACTATGCATCTTAGGAGCGTCTGACTTTCAATATTATTATCAGGGTTTACATCATTACATGTAAATAAATGACATTGCATCCTCAGGAAGATCCTGAACAGCATTATTTGAGTAAAGATGAATGTATAATTCCCTGTTTACGAGAATTTCATATATCTTTATAATTTACTTAGCATACAACTGATATATATAGGTTTCCATACATCTTTATCACATTGTACTGCAAAAACAGGAACACCTATTGACCTAACGTTACCTTCCCCATATAAAAAAGCTGTTACCAATTCATAACAAGATTTCCTTGTTTCATCTGGTTTTCCAAGTTTTCATTTTCTATTTTTACAAGTCCAGGCAGAAACAAGAATGTCTGCAATTTACGTTTCTTGTCATAGCTACAAATAGTATCAACTTCTAGTTGTTGTTTACTTCGTGTTATACGTATATGCTGTGATGCTTGATCGGAAATTTTATTTCCGGATTAATAACATTATTTTGTTTGCTAAGAAAAATGATTATTATTATTCATTACGGTTTTTAATAAATGATAATTTGATATACGTTTTTTAAATGAATAATATTGATATTTTGACACATAGGTGCCGGAACACGGGGAGGGGGGCTTAGCCCCCTCCTTTTTTTGCAAAGCCTTACTCATGTACCTTTTTTTGTTGGTTATGAAGCCCTCCCCCTTTCAATTTGCCCCCAACACTAAATGTAAGATAAATACTAAAACCTGACAATAACTTGTCAATCACTTGCAATTAAAATCATAAATATTTTTACAAATCTGAAATTGGTTTCTAAAATTATTTATCACTTTGCAAATTGAAGTGAATAGTCAAGGATTAAGAAAATTTTGCATGTTTAATACAGGTCAATATACTTAACCATGAATAATACCAATTGATAAACTATGGGTATGTCAATAGCTGGTCAAAGTCAGTCTGAAATCCCAACAATTTTTCTATATGTAATTAAACCTCAATATCTTCAATTCTTGGATACTTCAAAGTCTTTAAACTTCCTTGATAATTTCCCTTTGAATTCTAGATAATGAGGTTTGACTGTAGGTATTGTATTAAAAAAAGTTAAGATATTTCAAGGCTTTTATTGCACTGAAGTTACCATAAATAAAACATGTAAGTGATATTACTGTCTAAATAGCACTAGATAGTTTATCCCCCCCCAAAAAAAAATTATAATGCAGTCTTTTCTGCATTAAGAAACAGGTTGACAAGTTTTAAACAATGCAAAAGAGGTATAACTTTCAAGATTTTCCATCCTTTTTCGAGCAAACAATAATTAACATCAGCAAAATGAATTAAAGAATTAAGTACGTTAGTTATTATACGGAGGCCCAGTATTTTCCGTTATATAATATACAGGTTTGCTAAAATTTTAAATATATGTGCATGTACTGGATGATTTGTAGTTTTAGAATATGCGAAGCAAAATTTTCACACTCTGTCATTTAGACGTATAGATCACGTTTAAAGATCCGTTTTTTCCGGATATTGCTAGTTTTTCCACTATTTTCGACAGATATTTCTAAAATTGAAGTAGTGCACACTCCTCGAGCAAAATAAAACACGTATATTTCAAAACATTTTGATGAAAGACGGATGAAAATAGGGATAAGATTTTGCTCGAGGAATGTGCAGTATATATGTTTATTTTGACTTTACAGTACTATACTTGTCAAAATTTCTAAGTCCCCACTTTTATTATTCTAAGTATTTAAAAACCTTAAAATCAATTGACAAGTTGCCTATAATTTTGCCTTTATTTTTCAATGCTTACCTGTTACGGCTACAAAATTTGTAATCGAATGTGTAATTACTCGACCGTGACCGATTTTGTTAAAAAGCATGACGTGCGAGTTTCATATGTTTTCGGGTGTATCTTTTATTTATTTAAATTTCCATGTGTTCTCTATCTTTAGTTGTTCACGAAAAACAGAAAAAAGCTTGATTAAAATGCCGTGTATGTCCGTACAACAATGTGCAAGTGAAGTTGACAAGGCCAAAGCTGGTGATAGTAGAGGAGAGTTGTATTTCCTTCCCCTGTATTTGTTTATTTTACTTAAAACTTTAAAAATATCGTCAAAAAGTTGAACAAAGCTTGCATGAATTCCTTACAATCATTAAAAATCGCTAAATTTTCAACAAATACCACTAAACCATCCTAGTGTTTATCCGGAAATTCACTGAAACCGGAACCGGAAGTGCCCATGGTCAAAGTGTACAAATGTATACACAAACTGCAACTACCCATCAACAGGGCTACTGCATAAGAAATACTCACCATTATGGAAAGAACCTAACTGCGCGTGAAATTGCTCTGAACTCATTAAAAATTAATTGAGGTCTCCTTCATTATCAAAATTATAAGAAACGAACTGGAAGAGTGGGGAATGTGTGTAAGGAGGCCTGATGTACTTTAGGATTAATATTGTCGGGTACAAACAATTTCGGTAAGCTTCAATGTCATCCACATCTCAGCCCTATAGAACATGAATGGGACAAGATGGACGGGAGAGTGAGAGCTTTTCCAGCAGCAGAATCTAGCGTAACTATAGAGGACGACCTTGCAATACATGGAATAACCCTCAATAAAGATTTTTTCTTTAATAGTATGAACTTTGATAAGCAGTTGTCTTGCTCTTAATTCGTTTTAAAGAAGGATTAATGCAGTATTAAACGTTGCGAATTTTGAATTCTAGGGTACCTTTACGTTTCTGCATTTTGTGTTAAACCCTATCAATAAAATTAGATTAAGTGAAAAATAATTGTTTTGCTTCTTTTTATCCTGTATACTTATTAATTTATATTGTGTAAATAATTTAATATAAAAGCACTGTGAAGCAAAAACTTACCTGGGGACTTAGAAATTTTGATTAGTATATTTCCGGAGGCGGATTAAAAGTTCATTGAGAGGTGTATTTTATTTATGTGAAATTATATGACCACAATTCATACAAAATGTTAATAAATATATAATTCATGCATCGGCGATATATTTATTTTTCATGTAAGTCTATTTGTCAAGAAAAATAGCATACAAACTTGAAAATACGAAAGTTTAATAAGGGAGATTTGACGATGTGTTAGGCCTAGCGTGCATCTGACAAACATTTCCAATAAGGGTCAAGAACAAATGAAAATTAAATTAAATTAAAAAGAAGTTCAATAGATTAATCGTATTAGCACAGAAGAATAAAAAGGGTTTGAATTTTATGCCAAAGGTATAATTTTATTTTGGAAACTGAGAGAGTTTATATAGCTACCGTTAGCAGATGTAAATAAATTACGTAATAATAACAAAGATGACGTCACAATAGATCCCGTTTGATTTTCTTATCATTATGATTTATTTTTCTTAACAAAACACTTATAATATAAAATATGATAACCCTTTGCAAAATCTGTTCAAATTAATCAATATTCTGAATCCATATATTGTTGCATTCTTATATAAACACACACACGTATATGTACGCTCCGGATAAAAAAAATATATCCTTCCCACAGTCAGATGGTTGATATAAAAAAAACGATACACCAGTCTATATTTTAAGAGATGTTATATTCCACAATGAATTAACAAAAAAAAGCCTATGTATATTTCACCTGGTATTATTTTTATTAAATAAAGATTGCTAGATAAATTAAAATTGACTGTCATTAATTATCTGTCAGGGATCCTGAAACGTCAATAGACGACGGATTTGGGAGCGACATATAAGTTAAAAAGAAAATTCAAGCACAAAACTTGGGGGTGGGGGTGGATGAGGGGGGTTTGTTGAAACAATTATTGTAAGAAATAGGGGGGGGGGGCATATTGCAAAGAAAAAATACTTAGTGCGGCGGCCCTTATAGATATACCGGAATTGTCACTCGGACTCCTGATCAGTCCCAATTTTACATGTATGTATTCCTTGTAAACGAGTGTTGTGAAAAAAGTTCAATTAGATTAAAATGCAATGTTCACAAAGTACTTATATATTCGTTTAATCACGAAAATCCTTGCGTTCAAGCCATAAACGGCATGCAGACTAAAAAAAATTAACCAGATCTTTCTATTTGTTTTGTTACCTTATATAAATATCGGGAACACTTCTAGTATACCGGTCCCCATAAATATGGCGCTAAAATAGGTGCCGCCGAAGGCGGTGTACAATATATAGACGATCGCGTGAGCGATCGACAAAATCGAAAAAGAAGCCACAAATTGCAAATTTGACCCCAAATTCGTGTTCCTTGTGAAAAAATGGGTTTAAAAAACTGGTTTTTAAACACAGTTTTTTAAATGAGAATTAAAAGATTTCGTAAAATAACGTACTTGTTTAGGAAGTAAATCTCCATCTTGCGTTGTTTAGGAATGTAGTCACATGATCAATTTTTGACGTAATCTCATAAATATTCATGAGTTGCGTCACTTATGTGTTGACGTAATGAAGAAATGCCTGATAGGACTCAAAGTCCAATGCTATTAAAATTGCGTGATTTTTGTGAGAAATACAGGGATTTAACAAATGTTAGCTAATTACTGGTCATCGATGGATTGAATTGTGCATCATTATCGATTTGAAAGGAAAAATATTCTGAATATTTGGACATGATTAGGAGGTCAGGATATCGAGCTGCAGTTAACGGCAAGTCGCTTTTACAATAACTTGCCTAAACTCAGCGCTGAAAATCGTCATGTTTCGACACGCAATACAGTTAAGGTGCGCAATGGAAATATCTATAAAATTTTGTATTTAAAAATGTATTCGTAATCAGGATGGCGATTATTTTTAGTACATTATTTATATCGGATAATTGTAATTATGATTAATAAGTACATATCGAGGACGATCATATTTTATATTAAGACTAGTCACGTGATGCGACAGTCGCGTGATTTTAGCACATTGACTTGCGAATTGATGTTAAATATAAATGTCACTAGTGCAAGGGCATAACCAAGTTAAATTTCCAAGTTTAGTATATAAATATTTTCAACACGCATAGTAGTTTCTAAAAAAGCTGCGATCCTGTCTAAATTCTCCAATTTTATTGTTAAAAGTATATTTGTATGACCGAATGCTATATTTTTTGCTGGTCGGCGGCATGAAATATTGATATAATTAAATTACTTTTAAGATTTCATCAGGATCGCAGCACTTTTCAGATACCTTAATAGTTCAAGAGTTGAATTGTAAAAGCTTATTATGATCCATAGAGTGTATGCCCTTGCACTAGATCAATTTATTACGACCCCCACATTACCCTCCGATGTACTTGCATACAAATATACGGCAGTGTCAATTAAATACGTAATGTACAGAAAATATAATAATAAAATAGTGAAGAAGACATTAAATTCAAGTTATTGGCCCATAGAATATATGTATATAATATTTTATTTAATTAGAGAATACATATTTAGTTGAAAAAATATTACTTGATCTGTCTCTCACTGCATACAAACTACGTCACGTTTTAAGAAATGACGTCATATTGACAAGTGTGTTGCAATCAGTGAATAGTTTATATCTTGTTGTGTGAGATTTAACTAAGGATAAAATAGCGCGCTGTAGTAAGTTTTTATGTAGTTTGATGATTTCTTACTGGTAAAATAAGCAAATCAACTCATTTTGTGGTATTTTAAAGAAATGTTGTATGACGTATATTTTGTATGATGTCATAGTCAAGTTTTCCCGTACAAATTAGGCTCCGCCTCCTTTTTGTAACCTTAACTGTGCTGCGCAATAGAGTTGATTTACCCGAACTTTCATTTCTTCAACTTTCCTGTTCTTTGTAAAGCAAAAATTTCGTGAACTAAACCAAAGTGTAAGATATCGGTGCGATTCGACAGGCTGATTCATGCAAGTTTTTGGTCACAAAAGGCACTCATAGTGCCTTTTGTAAGCAAAAATGACATTAATAAGCCCAAAGTCAGAAAGATTACAGAGTGGATTTATAAAACAACCCCAACTTTAAAAAATATTTAACCTAACCCTAATCACTCGATCGGATGCGTTTTGTTGAAGCGAGTGGGAAATTGCGGTTTGTTTACATTCTGCATATCAACGGCAAGGGAAATAACTGCTCATGCGCAATCGCGTGATTCTGGGGACCGGCATACTAGAAACTTCCCAAATATCGGAATTCCTGTAAATTACACAATTTAAATCAATCGCGTTTCATAGATACTCAGTATCACAAACTGAAAACAATGACCTATTTATTTCCGGCTTGGATAAAAAAATGTCAGACACAGTTATAAAAGTCAATTTAATCCACAGAAAATTGGGAATATTTAAGTTTAAATTCGTGAAAAAAAATAATTTGAACTTAGATAACAAACATCATCTGAATCTACACGTTATCGCGTAATTTTTTAGGCTCAGGTACGCCATATTTAGCTTTAAAATTCTGTTTGACTTTACATTCTCAATCAAATTAAAATGTCAACTTGTTCCTGTAAGGTTATATACAAAAAGAGATTTACAAGTGATATATAACAAGCACGTAGCATCGTTTTTTGAAAAATGGGAAGAGGGGGGGGGGGCAGAAAATTGTTTTTTACTCACCTGGAAAAGTTGACAAACCAAAAGAGAAAGCAAGCATTGCCAAAGCTCGAAATTCCTTTTTCGTGGGGAGTGTGTGTGTGTGTGTCGGGGGGGGGGGGGGGGGGGGGGGGGGGTAGAGGCCAATTTTTTTCAGGTGCCGAGTTCTTTCAGTACCGATTTTATGCATAAAATTCTACATTTCCCTAACATCACTTTACCATAGTAAAAGCTTGGGGCCGGCCAGCTTTTCAATAAACATTTTCAATTGTAAAAGTAATGTTGGGAAATAAAAGTAACCTCCCCCCCCCCCCCCCCCCCGTTACTACATGTACATGCCTGTATAACTCTGAAGAATCGCATTTTAATTTTAAAGCATTATTATGTCAATGGAACATAATTATTTATAATATATCGATGTTTTACCTCTTGCGAATTTTTCACTCATATGAAGACGTAGCTGCAGAACTGTAGCTCTCCGAAAAAATATATACTGACAGACCGGAGCGCTACAGTGCCACCCATTGAAAAAAAACTGTATATCTATTGCCCACAAAAAGTTTGCTGTTTCTGGATTAATTCATCCAAAATCTTTCCCCAGTTGCTAAAAAGGTAGATTTAAATAAAGTCCTTAATCGTCATCCTATTATTTTTATAGTTTGCATATGTACGAAGCGCGTTGGACCGAATTATCTTGTAAACCAAACTGGCAGTATAAATATGCGAAATTTTCTATGATTTCAATTTCAGAACGAGGAGGGCTATTTGAAATGATTAAAAAGAATGTTTTGATGTGGAAACAGTGAAAGAATATGTTAGGAACACACGGTTAGTAATATTTTGAAATGACAGTTTTAAAAACATGGAGAAATAAATCGAAAAAGCGCAGTTTTTTGTGAGCAAAAAATATACAGTTTTTTCAATGGGTGGCACTGAAGCTCTCTGGTCTGTCAGTATAATTTTATTTCGGAGAGCTACAGTTCTACAGCTAATGAAAACGTCACCAATTGCCATGGAGAGCAATCTTATTAAAAGCAGATTTTTTTTGCCCCGAAATTCTGATAGTCGCAAGGTGTACAGCAGCTATCAGAATATCGGAGCATTACAGAGATCTGAAATATAAAAATTGAACGCAAGTTGTTAAAAATACCAAGGTTAGATATATTATCATTTAGTAAACATGAGGGCAGTCAGTCTGCAATTAAAGAATGTGCATCACGTGTGATCCAATGAAAAGGGGAGGTCGGGGTGGGGGGTTACTAACCATGATTCAATAATGCTGAAAATCCTATCGTAAGGGTGGATTAATGATTTCAAGCGACTTGTCAGAAGAAAAAACATCGTAGCTCCTATGAATGATTTTTGCATATCCTGATGTTCTTTTTTTGTAATTAAAGTTGAATTTTTTTTAATATGTTCACGTATACATTTGTATTCTCAAAAAAAAGCTGAACTTGAAAATTGTGTTTTGTTAATTCATATACATGGTATCATCAAACTTCAAATTAAGATAGCCGTCTTTATTATAAGAACCATCATGATAATGCACGAACAATATCGTATGCAGTTATAATTCATACATGTATGATGTATATGTCCTCGTGTTTATTTTCTATTTACAAACTTACACTGTATACACACACAAAAACAACAATAAATTGAATAAAAGAAAGATTTGTCGTTCATTCAGAATTTTAAGATTTAATCGTGATAAAAAATTGGACTTCAAGCTAAAAATTATGTTCCATTGAATTTCTTGAGGAATCGTTTTCTTGGAAAATCTAGCAAAATCAATGACCAACAAAATTTCCAGTAAAGACAATTTTTAAATTCAGCGAAATTTAAACTCGCTCCACATTTTAAGAGTAGCTCACAATGGAAACAAAACAGTAGGCTACAGCTTTTTCAGTTCAAAATTTATTCTTCTTTCACGTTGTATCGGGATTAAAACGTTCCAAATCATATAACGTCAAGTTGACGTCATAACGTCATTGCGTTATTTTCTTACGAAAACTACCTATATTTAAAGAGCTCTCTTGGAAAAATGGTTTGAGATAATAGCAAAAATTAAAATGACTTAGGAAGTGGTCATTCTAGACATGTTTCAAGAACAATTTAATTAAAATTTGGAATTGGGCGGAATTTTGCTCATACCGTACTTTCTTCTTTACCGAGCTACAATTAATTCAGATACTTGAACTTTGTGATTGCAGTAATCATTACAAATATAACAGACCTTAACAACAACAAAAAAATAAAATTTAAGGACAAACGAGACGTTCCTTAATAACAGATAAATTTTTCTAAGAGTTTGTCATTGAAGTATTGCTAGTTAAACATGTTTACTCACAAAAAATTGAGGTACCTTACCAGGCATTTCTGCAAGATACCAGGAATAGTTTTTCTCATATAATCCTTTGGGGATGAAAAATAATTTTCCAATTTCATATGTTTAAGTGTTTGGATATTTTAAAAACGTTTACAAACTGGTTTAGAAATCAGAATGTTATTAAAATTTTGAATATTTTTCATACATTACGAAGATATACAAAATGGATTTTGAGGAACGTCTCGTCTGACCTTAAAGAAAGATTAGCCACAAATTAATCTGCTAAAATTGTGATTGCTGAACATCACATCATAATTTTTTTATTGAACAAAACCGACACATTCCTGCAAAAATTACACACATTTACACCAGTAAAAACAACAATTATACAATTCTATATACCAATTCAGTGATTGTGCATGTGATAATTAAAGCATGAAATTTTGAACTAGCAGATCCAACATTTCCAGGGCGGATCAAAGATTTGTCATCATTGGTAACAATATAACTATATCTACTATAACAGTAACAATAGCAAAACGGTGGGAAGACAATGAAAAACTTAACAAAGCTTGTTCTCTATATACCACTCTACTAACACTATAGCTGCTGAAGCAACCTCTTCAATTTCCTATATAGCTAAATAAACTACAGAAAATACTTTGTAGAACAGTAAATTAAATTTCATACCTTTGATATTTGTGCAATTTTATTGTTTTTGAAGCTAAACCAGTATTCAGAGCCATTATATAACCAGCTACATTTTTACTAACCTACCAGTTATGACATCAATAACGTTTTATGTTGTATCTCAAAATACAAATCAATAGTAAATATGGAACTGAGAATTCAGAGGAAAATTCCACTAAAGATTAAAATTAAATTTGGAAAATATGATTGAAATCCACAAAAATAAAATACTCCAATATTATCACTATTAGCAACCACTCAATAACATAAGACATGTAGCACCAATGGGATAAAGACACAAAATGCAACAACCTTTGAAGAAAGTAGCATCTATATATGACACATATATAAATCATAAACCTTTGAAGAATTAAACTATAATTATGGCAAACTCAATACAGGGGTATTAAATACAGAAAAAAGTTTTGTGGAACTAGCCTTATGGAAAACACAATTAAAAAAACATACATGTAAGTCTAAAATAAATTGCATAATCTTGATTGACTATACAATATGAACGACACAATTTATATTGCAGTGTCATAAAATGAACACCCCTCTCCTACTATAGAAATATAAATAGGTATCTATAATTGTTACTTATAGAAAGGACTACATTTTAGGTATTGCAGAAGCACATGCATGCTTGTAAGCTTTGTGTATAAGTAGTGTGTGCATTGTCACTTTTGAAATCAACTTAAATGACTGATTTCTCTATCATTGACACTAGGTTTAAAACATTATAAAAGAGGACAAAAATACTAGTAAAACATACAAATCAAAAACTAGTATTTTGAAGTTAATCTCATTAAAAATGAACACAAAGGCTAAAAAAAGGAAAACAAATGGAAGCAACTGGCAGTTGAGTAAAATATATTAGAATGTGATTAAGACAAAAATCTTAGATAAAAATAAATAATAAGCATACAAATTAAAAGTAAAATACATGTATATTCATATAAAATATTAATACATTTTCCCCACAAATACATGTATATTCAAGTTACAATTGTAGTTCAGAAAATGTGTAAATATATTACATCTAGTTTTATATTCTTTTTAGTGCCTTTGTTGGAAAGAATCTCTAGTAAAATCAACAACATGACTAAATGAGTTGTACATAGCTATTTAAATACATGTACATGTATTCAATGTAAAAGCCCTAAATCAATGCTGTGCTACCTTTCAAACAGTAAATTTCTGCTAAATATTATACTTGTTTATAAATATGATATATAAACACTGCATATATTAATAAATGTGAAAAATGCCAATTCTGACTAGACAACTAAATATTGAATAAATAACAAGCCATTATTGTGGTATGCAAGATTTCTTGAAAAGGGACTTTTATCTATAAACAATATACATGTACAGTCACATACAGAAAAGAAAAAAAAGCACCAAAACAAAATCCTAAACTGAAAAGGAGGCCAATGTTAATACAATGTAGATAAACCTCCAAATAACAATAAAGTTCCGTCATTATTTGTACACTGCAAATGAATAGAGCAAAATAGCTGCATAAACAATGTATGGTTCTTTGTCGATGTTGCTGTAGATTTAATGGCTCCCTAGAAACAAGGGATCTACTGAAGCCAGCTTAGCAGACAGAAAGGCGTGGATGCAGTAAAGCAGGGTGTGGAGACTGGAGCACTGGATCTCCTACAAACACAACCAACAAACAGTCAATATAAAATAGAATAATAATGTAATATGATGCTTCTGTCCCATTTCTGTTGGGATAAAGGTTAGTCAAAACTCCGGCCCTTTTGGCTAGTTCTCAAAAAATTATTTTGTACCTGTGTCAAAATTAATTAACCAATCAAATTATGCAGTGTGTTTTATATGTTTCAAGCTTCTCTGTCTCTAAGATGTGTGGCTTGTTGTCAGACAAGATTCAAATTATCTACTTAAAAAAAAATACTTTGAAAAATTATTTAGGTTTAAAGAATAATTATTCATTATGACAATCTGTGATTGAACATTGTTCTGATTTTGTCCTTACCCTGGTTTCTGTATTGTTGGAATTCTCCGTGCTGTGGAAGTGCAGCCTCAGTTTGGATCTGTTATCATCTGAGGAACCTTTGAGTTGGGAGAATTTATAAGTCCACATGTAGCTCTATGAAAAAAGAAAAAAATGGCCTTTTTTTCTTTGCTTCACATGACACTAAATCAAGAGATGTTTGTAAAAAATATTGGATTTCATTTAAATATGTGCAACCTCTACACAGAAAATGAATGGAAACTGATGGTGGACCAACAGGCACCCATATAGACTGACAGCAGCAAAGCAATACGCCCTCCCTTCTTTGGAGGGGGGGGGCATGGTTATTAGGGTTTTTTTCTGGGGAATTAATCATCTTTATACATACCTTTAAAGTGTTGTCATACAGAGAAAATCCAGACTCGAGATCCAGGGTTAATCCAGACAGCTGTCCCCTCCAGGTACAACCAAAGGTTTTACTCTACAATGAAATATCAACATGTAACAAAAATCTCTTTTATATGCTAGTTATACTGGTGTGATTGTGTTTACCTTCATGCTTGTTATACTGGTGTGGTTATTTACCTTCATGCTAGTTATACTGGTGTTGTTTTCCCTTCATGCTTGTTATACTGGTGTGGTTATTTACCTTCATACTTGTTATACTGGTGTGGTTGTGCTTTCCTTCATGCTTGTTATACTGGTGTGGCTGTGTTTACCTTTATGCTTGTTATACTGGTGTGGCTGTGTTTACCTTTATGCTTGTTATACTGGTGTGGCTGTGTTTACCTTCATGCTTGTTATACTGGTGTGGTTGTGCTTACCTTCATGCTTGTTATACTGGTGTGGTTGTGCTTACCTTCATGCTTGTTATACTGGTGTGGTTGTGCTTACCTTCATGCTTGTTATACTGGTGTGGTTATATACCTTCATGCTTGTTATACAGTGTACTGGTTATTTACCTTCATGATTGTTATACTGGTGTGGTTATTTAAGAAATAAACAACGTTATTTAGTGAACATGGCGTTATGAATAGCAATTGCTCTGCTGGCATATTCCATGATGCGCGCTAGCGCATCATGGAAAATATGCCAGCAGAGCTATTACTATTCATTACGCCATGTTCACTAAATAATCGTTGTTTATTACTTATATTTGCATTCTTTGATGTTGACAAGAATATCAGAGGAAATCCTGACTTACATAAGGACGCAGCTTCTTCTGTCTTCAGTAAAGAAAACCATATGGCTTTAAAATCAATACACCTGATCAATACTCCTTTTCTCTAATAAATCACAATTTATAAAGTATTTCCCTCTCAAACACAGTTATCTGGATACAAGCAGCGCCGTCATCACATTCTCTTAATTTTTGTTTTGATGCAGTCGTGACGTCATCAATCAACGTTATTGAAATCCTCTGACAAAAATCAATAATTTAACACTATGATAAAGATGAGAATGCTTTTATTATTATTATTACTCCAGTATGCTTTTCTGTGATTTTTTTTGGGTACTTTTTCTATTTATTTTTTCTTGAAATAGATATAGATCTACTATAGTTAAAGAAATTTTCTTTTCTGAATGTTATTACCCAAGTTTGAAGAGTTATCGTTCTTTGTACAAGTATGCATGATACGAAAAAATAAAAATATGGAGTTCTATTTAATTTTTAAAAAGTTTTATTTTACAATTAAATACATTTACCAAAATTAAATTTTTAAATATATCAAACAGCAATTTCAAATTGTTCTGAATTCCTTTTTTTCCAAAAAATATTATTAAAAACTTATATTTAGTCCTTTTACGAAACATTTCATATATATACTTCTCAACACGGTAATTAAGTAGTAGAGCTTGTTCTACACGAGTGAGATAGAGCACTTGCACTCATAGTGGAGGCAGTTGCGTCTATAGTCATATGAACGCAGTTGAGGGCTACATGTTCATAGTGGAAGAGAGCAGTGGATATGCAAATATTTACATTTATGCTTGTTACACTGGTGAGGTTATATTACCTTCATGCTTGTTATACTGGTGTGGTTGTGCTTACCTTCATGCTTGTTATACTGGTGTGGTTGTGCTTACCTTCATGCTTGTTATACTGGTGTGGTTGTGCTTACCTTCATGCTTGTTATACTGGTGTGGTTATATTACCTTCATGCTTGTTATACCAGATTGGCTGTGTTTACCTTCATGCTAGTTATGCTGGTGTGGTTGTGCTTACCTTCATGCTTGTTATACTGGTGTGGTTATATTACTTTAATGCTTGTTATACTGGTTTGGCTGTGTTTACTTTCATGCTTTTTATACTGGTGTGGTTCTTTACCTTCATGCTTGTTATACTGATGTGGTTTTTATACCTTCATGCTTGTTAGAGTTGGGTATTGCGAGTGAAAACCATATTGCGATATATTGCAATATTTATGTTGAATATTGCAATATACTGCGATATATTGTAGATGAATTATCATTAATAAATTTGTGCAGAAAGTTTAAAATGCTGTCAATTTCAAAGACTATTTGAATTTATCTATAAATTTTAAAGGGGGGGGGGGGATAAGACATTAATCGCACACAAAATTATAATAACTTTTAATCGAAAACCAGGTAAAAAATTAAAACAAAATGTATTCATTTGATGTATTTTCAAATTGAAAAAAAAGTTTATGCATAGTATATTCTTTATACGTTTCTTTTTTTTCGGGGGGGGGGGGGGGGGGGGGGGGGGGTGTTTTATTGAAATAACATAAAATGGAACTTAATGATTAAAACAATACATATATACTATATAGAAATTTTATGTGGTCACAAAATAAAATTAAAGCCAGAAAGAAATTGTGACCTAATTTCGGACGTTTGGTGTTTTAGTCTGACCCGACCTAATTTCACATTATGACATACGATCAGGAACGGCATTGGCCTATTTCTATTGTTTTAATATACATGCTACTGGTATAGCATGAAGGTGTTTAAAATGGCATGAAACTTGTTAAAGAATAATAAAAAACACTGTATCAAGTGAAAACATGGATGGCCATTTACTTGTAATATGTATCTTGAACTTAACATTCATCGTCGATCGTGTAGATTCCATGAGATTTTGAGAACCACAGTACACATGGTAAACACCCTGTAGAAATGTTTTATGTATTTTCCTTTTTAATAATTTTATTTAAAAGTCTTTTTATTAATTATTTATTTTATTTTAAAGTAAGAAATTTAAAATTGACAGTGAATGAAAAGCTTCCCCCCCTCTCTCTCTTTTCTCTCTATCTGCCTCTGAAAGCTGACGAAGTATTTTTTTTTTACTAGATTGAAAAGGCCTGGGGAAGTTACAAGTATTATTTCAGCAGTTTCTACAATACAGGAGTTTTTTATATATTTTATAAATATCGTGAAATACCGGTATCTGACTTTCATATCGCGATATATTATCGTGATGGATAATACCGCAATATACCGATATACCGGTAATATTGCACAGCCCTAATGCTTGTTATACTGGTGTAGTTGTTTTTCCCTTCATGCTTGTTATACTGGTGTAGTTGTTTTTCCCTTCATGCTTGTTATACAGAGGTGTAGTTATTTGCCTTTATGCTTGTTATACTGGTGTGGTTGTATTACCTTCATGCTTGTTATACTGGTGTGGTTATTATACCTTCATGCTTGTTATACTGGTTTGGTTGTGCTTACCTTCATGCTTGTTATACTGGTGTGGTTGTGCTTACCTTTATGCTTGTTATACTGGTGTGGTTGTGCTTACCTTCATGCTTGTTATACTGGTGTGGTTGTGCTTACCTTCATGCTTGTTATACTAGTGTGGTTATATTACCTTCATGCTTGTTATACTGGTGTGGTTGTTCTTACCTTCATGCTTGTTATACTGGTGTGGTTGTGCTTACCTTCATGCTTGTTATACTGGTATGGTTATTATACCTTCATGCTTGTTATACTGGTGTGGTTGTGCTTACCTTCATGCTTGTTATACTGGTATGGTTGTGCTTACCTTCATGCTTGTTATACTGGTGTGGTTGTGCTTAACCTTCATGCTTGTTATACTGGTGTGGTTGTGCTTACCTTCATGCTTGTTATACTGGTGTGGTTGTGCTTACCTTCATGCTTGTTATACTGGTATGGTTATTATACCTTCATGCTTGTTATACTGGTGTGGTTGTGCTTACCTTCATGCTTGTTATACTGGTGTGGTTGGTTTTGTACCAGGCTTTCTCCAGTTGGAGGAGATCAGAGCGGCTCTCGGTACTCAGGTAGAACTTTTCACCTGTCCCACAGTGTATGGTGCAACAATGCTGGCGATCATCCAGAAGTTCAACATCCTGACAAAAGATACATTATTTTTTATGTAAACACAGCTGTAAAAAGAATACCATTCACCTAAACAGTTTAATTCTGGTATCTTCAACACAGGTACATTGCAGCTTCTTTATCATGGATATGTATCAAAAATTTCAAATATTTTGAAATTTTTCTTTGCTCCATCAAGTTTGAAAAGATTTGACTGTTTTGGCCTCAATCAAAGCCTTTTTCAAGAATCCATGGTTTGTGAAATTACTTGCACACTATAAAACACGCATAAATATAAGTTTTTAAAATATAAACTAACTGAAGAAAATTTACTTTCTTCAACTTAAATACCTTGAGAACCTTAAACATGCACTCATAAACTTTGAACACAGTGTCACAGCGAACCCAGTCTCTTGTCTGCATCTAAAAATAACAAAAAAGAATTCAATTTACATCTTTTACAGAAGAGCTGTATCTTTGTGCTATAGGTAACAACTCCCAATCATAAAAAAATTCATATTAATAGAGTATTCAATGATGAATATCATATGCAATATCAGAAACTATAAAATATATTGAAAGGACTTACTGGTGGAACATCAAACAAGCAAATTTCAGCTCCTTTTAGACATAGAAATTTTGGTTTCCAGGCTTGAAAGTGCCGCATGGGAGAGACTCTTTCTTGGGTCCATGTCATGTGAACAACCTGGTAAAAAATAAATATTTTTCAATACATATTCTGTAAGATAGATTACACGTTTTAAAAGAAATTGTGACTGATGTTAGCACAACTTACTTGATCTTCTGGGATCAACAGTCTGTTGCTCATTTTTATCTGAAATGAAAATGTTCAATTCATATATTTTTCATCTGACACAGTGAAAACCAGCACTGTATCATACAACACAAGCTAAAATTCAACACACCGCTCAAAGCATCTGAATGAACAGTAATTTATAATTCACATATCAACATTACAGTAGCAAATACACAATATTGTCATACCATATGAGTGAGCAATGCTGAAATATTATTGGTTATTGCTCTTATCCAATCAGCCAATGATCTACTGTCTTCACATTGTACAACTCCTGTTGAAGCAGAGTTCACACCAACCACCTCAAAGGCATTTGTTCTGAAAGATTCAACATATATTACAGTGTACAGTCAAATACAACCAAACATATTCTATATCAAAGCAATTTACAGGTATAATAAAACACTTATGCCCCCTCCTCCAAATAATTGGAAGTCTAAGGGGCACAACTCTGGTCAAAATAGCCTGATCGTACCCAAAATAAAACTTGACCTAGATATTCTCATGAAAAATTCTTTGCAGAGGTTGCACATATTGAAATAAAATGTGGTATACAGATTTATTATAAAAATATCTAGGTCAAGTTTTGTTATGGGTACGATCAGGCCATTTCTGACAGAGTTATGCACTTTCGACTTTAAAAAATTCCAATTATTTGGGGGAGGGGGGCAGTGTTTATAAATATCTCTCGTTAACATTCAGTATTGTATTCAGAATTATTTCATCAAAGACATCCCAGTGACCTGAATACAGTACTTCATCTCACCTGAGTTTGTCTGTTCCGGGGATGAATCTGGACAGGTAGGCAAACAGTAAGGGGATAGTAACATAGACCACCCACTGTCGCTCGAGGTCAGGGATGGACGGAGACTGGGAACTCTTTATACAAAGAACACAAATGAGAAAGTGAATTCTTAACTTACAATATAAAAGACAATCTGATATAATTTTTACCTTTTGCATATGTAAAAAAAGAAAACTTACAGGTTTTTGGGCAATCATTCATGTTTTTTTTTTTTTTTTAGAGAGAATTAATTAATACATGCCTTATAGCCTGTTATGCATACATTAGTATTCATTCATAAGAGTCCATACAGCAAAAAAACTTTAAAATTTTTCTAAATTCTATATGTTTGATACTTACTCCTGGAGAACTTGCACTGCTCTGTGACTCTAAAAATGAAAGAAAAATGATAATCATATCTATACACATGCAATAATAAATTAAAATTTCATACCACGGTAAGTTTCAAAATTAACAAGCATACACATGTACATGCTGCAAAAAATGTAATACTGTAGATCACTAAATTTTCGCGACACCATATTTTCACGAGATAGTCCTTGACTCTTGATTAGCGAAACAAAATTTTCACGAATTGTGGTTATTGCTCTATATAATCTTAAGGAATACTATTATACGCGAGAATTAAATTTTCGCGAGCACACTGTCTCACGTAATTATGCGCAAATGAAGTTCTCGCGAATAAAAAGTGATTTACAGTATACAGTGTGGTCTGCAAATATTGATTTTTTTTCTTCAATTTCCTATAGACAATATATTATTGTTGAAGACCTTGTCTCAGGAAAAAATTATAATACTTACCCCTTTTCAGGAAAAGTGCAGCTGGTTTAAAGTATCTGACTGTCAAGATAACAGTCTGTCCTGCTAATTTCAGTGTCTCAATGACTGCATCATGTTCCATTTTATCACATTCTATGTCATTTATCTAAAACATTAGATAATCCATTATGGATTAAAATCTTTAATGAATTCAAGACACTGGGAAACAAACCAAAGCAATTGTTCCTATGTATTTTTAGTTGGTACATGTAAATACACACTGAAGACAGTAATCATGAATCCAGATACAGTATTCAAATCTGCAAAGATTGTTTATTCCTGACAATGAAAAGCAATTTCTTGTAGCTAATTAAAAGCCTACCTTTAGAATAGCATCTCCAATCAGTAGTTTGCCAGAATTTGATGCTGGAAGATTGGGGGGCATTTTTGATATGAATACAGGAAGGCCACAATCTGCACCCCCCTTAAGACCGAGTCCTAGCCCCCCGGAGTCATCTCTCACCAGACACACCTCACGAACCTGTTGAAATTCTCATCATTCAGTACATTGAAATAAGCGTCCATATAAACTTGATATCAGCTGGATTTGGGGAGTTAACTCTTGGTCCAAAACTCAATGTTTGACTTAAAAGCAAGTTCTAGAAACACTACCTATGCTGACTTAAAAGCAGATCAATGGCAAATTTCTCCAAAATAATCTGAACAAAACAACCATGCAGCTAAAAGTAAATTGATTTATATGAAAGCATCTATGGTATTATAGACTTAAAATTGTAATTTGATATATGTAGGAGTAAATATGAAAATGCTTTGGAATTATTATAATGATATACAAGTGGTGCTAATGGCCAAATAGTGTTAGGAACTCCACATAAATTACCTCATAACAATTAAAGAAATAGAAAACTGTCTTTGTGTATTTGTCACTGTAGTGTTCTGTACATTTACCTGGTTAAGCATCTCATCGTTCCCATTGCTGTCAGTTGACACGATTTCCTCCCTCAGAACACTCAGTGTGTCCGTTGTTAAGACAAGCTTGGCTGTTCTGGGTTTTCCTATGGAGTCAAGGATGGTTACTAAACCAGTCTTCTCCTGGAAAATAAATCATATATTTAGAAGAGTTTCATTTTAATGCAGATTAAAAATTCACTTTTAAATTGTTTAATGTGAAATTTTTGGCTTTTAAAAATTTTTTTTTGGGGGGGGGAGGGGGGTATATCTTACTTTTTGTCTTTGAATTTGAAATTTGTACAAAAGATTCAATTTGCTCAGAGACAAAAATGGGCAATGATTTACTGAGCATCATATTGAGTGAATAACAAAGAAAGGGGGAGGGGCCTAAGTTTACTTTTATTGTATGAAAAGTATACATGGCAGAAATGTTGTACAATAAATAAAAAAGATATATATATTAACATTTATAATGATTACAGAGATTTCTTTCTTGATGCATGTATTTGGTACTTTAGTTTTGAGAATAGATAGTTTTTGATGGACCTAAATTTAGCAAAAGTTACCTCCTGTTGGTCGCCATATTGGGGGTCGACTCGGTGAGTTTTCCTCTTTGTCTTACCAAGTTTAAGAAAATATAGCAGAAATATTTGGTGGAAAATCTTTATTAAATAATTTTTTTTTAATAAAGGAGGCTTCCAAAAATTTACATACTTCAGAAAAATAATTATTCCTAATTCAAAATAGCAAATATAAAAATTTAAAATTGGTTGAACAATGAAGGAATATAAACATTTGGACCTCCAGTTTGGCGGCCAATGGGAGGTAACTTTTGCTAAATTTAGGTCCATCGAAAACTATCTATGGTTAAATAACATATACATGTAATAAAAATTTTGTTACATTATCAAAATCATTTCAAATGGTATATTGGTTTGAAAGTTTGACTTAGGTTTGTTCTCAGTTTATGATGTTAAAGCCTGTTTTTATACACATGTAACCCTTCAAAGTTAAAATCTATCACTTCATAAAAATTTGACTTATGAATAATTGAATTACCCATTCAACATGTTCAATAAGAATGTACGTATAGGGGCTAAAAATATGAATTAGAATTTAGACAGGGGTGCTTTAGACCTGCTTCATGCTTAGAAGTAATCCAATTAAACAGTGGTGCTACAGTACATTTAAAATGTAGTCTTTCTAAATGTATCAGACCTGTCTAGACCATATTTGAGGCCAGAGGGGATAAAAATAAACAAACCAAAAAAAAAATGCCCACAAAATTACCGCTATATAGATAAGTTTAAAAACTTCTCTGAGAATAAAGTACCACATTTTTTGTCTACATCCTTGGATCTTTAGAAGAGAAGGAATAAAATGAAGTACTTTATGAGAAAAATATTTATTTATGAGGAAATTCGAGCTGATTTATTGCATACTTTTAAATTATTTCTTTTTTTGTTTTTCACACCGATCATATACATATTACATTCAGCTATACTTACTTCGTTCATTATGTTGCAATCCCTTCATTAATTTATTTAAACAATGTCTAAATTTAATCAATAAATCGAGTCGATAAAAATTTTACAAATTGGAACTCTTCTATTTTGAAGGTAAATTTAGACTTTATGTAGAGATCTCGGGATTTCACGCGTTGGTTCTGTTTGGTTAGCAACCACATTGTAACTATTGTATGGGTGACTGTGTTGTTGGGATACACACGACAGATAAACTGAAGGGATAGAAACACACAATGGAGGGTCTGCCGTTTCTTCCAGGGAATTCCTTCAGGGACCCAACTGTAAGTAACTTTAGAAATTTGTGGTTTTATTTGTAAAATCATAATAAAATTTTAATGCAAAGATAACATTGTTCTGCAGCATATGTATTTTAGTAGGCATCAATCTGCATTGCAGTCATAGTCAATATCAACTTAACAATATTTTTCTTTATTGGTGCTAATATAAAAGACATAATGTGCACATAATGCGCAAGTTTTATCGTTTTTATATAGCCTAATTTCAGTAATTACACATTTCACTAAAATTTCTGAACTATTCAACAGTGGAAATATAAAATAAAAATTCTATGAAATACTTACAGCAAAACAAGTATCATAGGAGCCATTCCTTGAACTACAAAAATGGTTATTCCATCCCCACACTGCCTACCTCAGGTATTGGTGGTCAACCCATCATGTACAACCAACTGAGTGATCAAGAACTTGATGAATTAGCCAACTTCAATCCAACTCTTACTTATGGACAGGCCAAGCAAGCTCCTCCAGAGGACTTTGTTCCAGCACATAAAGCATGGGACAAAAAGGTAATGTAGATCTAATATCAACATGATTTATGTTTTTATTATGAAACTTGTTGATTGATTATTTTAAATCATTTTTACGTGTACGGTACCTATGGTCTACCTATAGTCTTTGTTGCACCAGTGGCGCATCTGAAGGACAAAGAGATTTTTGCATGTGCATATGTTCAACTGGATTTTTTTTTCTTTTTTTACCACAGGTTCTGAGATTTAATGCTTACTTTAAGCAAACTGTACATGAATCCCCAGCAGAATATTACAGAGTTAGACCAGTAGATATTTATTATTATCTGGAAGATGACAGCATCTCTGTTGTCGAACCTCATGTTGAAAACAGTGGGATGCCACAAGGTAGATTTGATTTATTCTTGCTCATACTTTAAAAATTAAAAGTTTTATAAATGCCAAAGCTCTTCTTAAAGTTTATTTTATCAAAATTTTCATAGTATTAAAATTGGGGCTTTAAATAAGTACATTTCAATACTTCTATTCAGGAAAACTTATCAAGAGACAGAGACTTCCAAAGAATGACCAGGGAGACAATTGGCACTGGAAGGATCTGAATAACGGCACCAATGCCACCTTCTATGGAAAGGTTTTCCACATTGTGAATTGTGACCAATTTACACAGGTATGCATCCTCTTTTATTTTCATCATGAGTTTTACAAAAAACGTTTTTATTTCATGACAATTTTGATTATTGTTTCCTCTACATAGCAGAATAATAGATGTACTTAATTTTCTGCAATATATATATATATATATAGACATACTTGCTTTAAGAAATTCAAAAAATATTCACTTTTAATTTACAGAATTTCCTTGAGAGTGAAGGATTGGTTGTAAACCCCTCAGAGGATATGCCATCAGACCCCTACATTGAGAAGAGGAAGGATGCTGCAGCCCTCAGAACCTACCAAACTCCCTCTGCCTTTGATAAGACAAAGCAGTTCCTGGAAATGGACCGAAAAGTGCTACGATTCTATTGTGTGTGGGATGACAGAGATAACATGTTCGGAGAAATGCGTCCATATGTCATTCATGTAAGTTTAATATTAATGATAATTTTTTTTAACAACTTTATCATTTAGTACCTGTAGATTATTGAAAATATATGCCAGTGGAATTTATCATTGAGTAATTTTGAAAATATTAATATTATTTTTAAATAACTGAAATGCATATAAAAATTTTCATTTCCATCAACGTTCCATCCTTGCATCAATTATGCTGCATTTTTTAGTGAAAACATTTGAATTGTAATTTTTTTTTATCTTTTTTCAGTATTATTTGGTGGATGATACTTTGGAGGTCCGTGAAGTCCACACAGCCAATGACGGAAGAGATCCATTCCCCGTACTCATCGGAAGACACAAGGTTCCCAAAAATAGATACGAAGTGGAGTCCTCCTTCCCTGCAGTAGTGATGGAGTTATCAGATAATGAAATCAAAGCATATTACACACCTAAAGACTTCAAAATAGGAGCAACTGTTCCTATCTATGGGCGAAAATTCCTCATTTATGATTGTGATAACTTTACAAAAGCCTTCTACTACCATCACTTTGGACAGACAGAATTCAATTCTCTAGATGTCAAAGAGAAATTAAAGGATTTGCCCAAAATGGTAAGTTTATGCTTGCATATCAAAATTGTACTCTTTCTAGAGAAAAAAAAAATTATATGTGCAACAACATTGAAAATGCTTAAATGTGTTGTGTAGTTTTACTTAATTAATTCCATACAGTTCTTGAGAGGATCCTTCATACATATAAGTTCATTTGATAATTAATTTTAATTGGATTAACTTTTAATCCTCTACAGGAAATTCCCCCATACAATCACTTTGGTTCTCTGGAAGACTCCCTGCAGTCCTGCTTGTCACTGATACCACAGCCGCCCAAGAAGGACTTCATCAAGATGTTAGAGAACGACCACAAAGTGCTCAGATTTGAAGCAGTCATGGTATGTTCTCTTTTAAACTTTTCTATTTTCTACTCAAATAGGCATTGACCCAGTCTTCTTTTTGATATTGACATTTCCTCCTGCCACTATAAAATGACAGTAGATGGCTAAACAATATGTGGTTGTTTTGTAGGATTCAGTCAGACCTGAGGACAATGGTAGAAGATTCATCATTTCCTACAGATTGGCCGATGACATGATGACAATTTACGAGCCCCCAGTCAGGAACTCTGGAATCATTGGAGGAAAATTCCTGGAAAGAACCAGAGTGGCTAAGCCCAGTTCTGCCCCTGATCAGCCCACATTCTATGGTCCTCAGGACTTTTACATTGGTGCTGTAATCGACATTTTCAAACACCGCTTTGTCATCACAGGAGCTGATGAATATGTACTGAAATACATGGAGGACCACAAATCTCAATTCCCAGGTAACAATGCATATAGCTATTAAAACAATGCAAATAACTACTAAATCAATGAAAAATAATTTTTTAAAAAATATATCCTGTTCTACAACTTCTTTTCCAAGCAAAAACAATTATGGCTATCACATTATTTTTAAATTAAAATTTTTAATTTTACAGTCTGGAATCTGTATAAAATATAATTATGTTCAATTATATGTTTTTTGCAGAGACTACCATCCAAACCCTAAGGGATTATCTGGGTCAATCCAGAGCTCAGAAAGAAATGATCAAAGGAGGACCAATGAAAGTCAGGAGAAGGTATGTTTAGAAAAATGCATTACTGAATATTCACACTTTTAAAATTGATTTGAAAAAAATCCCCTGTATCTGAAATATTGAGAGTTAAAATATGGCTTGATTTTGTGTTTCACAGCCCAGGAGATCTTGATATCCTAGTGAAACAAGTAAGAGCTCAGTTGAAGAAAATTGCCATCACAGACAAGACGCGTGTTGATGAGATGTTCCTCAGATACAACAAGGACCGTAGCGGGTTTATTGATGCAGACAACATGAGAAATCTATGTCGTAGTTTACAATTACCAGTTGATGATGATGTCATAGGAGCTGTAAGTATTGAGTATTGTGAAATCACTAATTTTCGTGGTTTTCAAGGTATGAAGAGACCCACAAATTTATGTCCACCATGAAATGCCATTTTTTACATATATTACTACTGAACAATTCTTCAACCACGAAATCCCCATGAACCAATATTTTTCCTCAAACCACGAAAATGTGACCCCTTGAAAATATGTGATTTTACAGTATTAATATAAAAAATGTTTAAATAATTTTCTAAGAATTTATTTTAAATTTTTTTACTGTGACACATCTTTTAAAAACTAAGATCTTTTACTCTCTTTTTTTTTTTTTTAGCTTATTGCGCAGTGCACATCTGACCCTGAAGGAAAAATCAGCTTAGAGGACTTCAGAAGATTTGTAGAAAGTTCATGAAGAAATATCTGTTTATTAAACTATTTACTGTGATATGTGACTATGGAATCTTTTTTCATTGCAATACAGATATGGATTCTGTCCCAAAACCAATCTTCAGTTTATATGTACATACTGTTAGGATATTTTACAAATCAGGATTTAAAATGTGCTGTACACTTGTCTTACACCAAGGAAGAACCAGAAAGTTGAAGCATTTACTGTTTTTTAATCATTTAATTGTTTTTGAAATGACAGTCACCAAAAAAGGGAGACAAAACCTATATTTCTCTCATCATATAAAATTATTGTAAAAATATTGATGTGAATATTAAATTATTAAAAATTGAAAAATAATAACATGACTTGAGTTGTATGTAGCAAGTGGGACAAAAACAAAAGAGCAATCAAAATACACAAGCATTTAGACTTGTCAAATATAAAATTTATTCTACCGGTACATTTCCCTCGAAATGCTTATCTTCTGATTTTGCACTATAAAAAATAAGATCCCATGTGAAAAAAATATTAAAATTAAGGATCTATGTTGTCTTTGAGTCTGGAAACAACTGAGTCCATGGAAACAAGAAGGTAAAGAGAGTTTGTGGAAGGGTCCTGGAAGGCATCTGCAATAATCCTAACTGCCTCACGGTGGTCCACATTAAACAAGGACAGACCATTCACTTCTAAAATCGTGTGTCCACATTTCAGGCCTCCTGATTCAAACGCTGATCCCCCATGCTAAAAGAAAAGACTATGTTTAAGAACTTGCAAACAGGGGGTATTAAAAAAAAATCAGGATTTGCTCTTATTTATAATGCCATTCTCAAGACGTATACCCATTTACAAATGCTTGAAATTGTTTTGAAATCCATACAAAATTTCTAATGCCAGAAAAAAAATTGTCTTTGTGTGACTGTCAATTGATGCAAACCTTTAACCTTGAGAAAATATTAGAGCACATGCTATTGGTTTATTGTACCTGTACATGCATGACTTTTTATTAATCTTTAAAACATGTTAAATATTTATAATGTTTTCTTAATACATCCTTATTTAATATTTTGTGAATTTTATATACCTGAATACTTATGACTTTTGGAATTGGCTGACGAGTGTTATGGCCACCCTCTATAGCAACACCAAGTGTGGGCTTTGTCTTGTAAATCATGACAAGATTCAGGGAAATGTCTCCATATTTCTTTTTGGCACTGGCCAACAGTGATTCCTCCTAAAATTAAACAATTTTTATATCAGTGCTTGTTACAAAATAAATTTTGTAACAAATTAACCTAAGGATACAATCATATAAACAAAAACACTAAAAATGTTGTAGACATTGATTTCACAAAATGATACCGGTAATTAATTTTCTAAAAAGAAAATGTGTTCATTTGCCTTTGCATCTTTATGCTTTACATTGCAACTTTGCACTTTTGCTCTTGGCCTTCGAAACATTGCACTTTTTGCCTTAGAGCAACTTTACACTTGCATTTTTGCTCAAAGGCAAGAGTGCATCAACATAAGAGGCCCCAATGGAATATAGAGTTTAAACTTGTAGACTTTACCTTTGTAGACTGATGTGAATTGTGGAGCTGTATTTGTTATAAAATTACTTATATAGACACTTAGAGGGGTAATATTGAATATACAAGGTCCATGAAAAATGCTTATTGTGCTTGGCTGACACCTCATATATTTCTGTATTACCCCTCTATTAAAGTGTCTTCATAACAAATTTATCATGTCAAAGATTTTAAAAAAAGAAGTTTATTTTCTCTGAGTTAAGTAAACCGTTCTGTAACAAGTATTGATATTAAATTTCAGGATAAAAGTACATTTTGGAAAATATGTCAGTACATGATACCCTGCCCCCCTCCCCTCCCCTTATGGTTATAATTGCAAAGTCCATTTTTTGCTCTAGGAGACGCAAAATATGCTGCAGATAAAAAAGTAAAATACACTTTACATAAATGAGGTGCAACGAGGCACCATAAAAAAAGATTCTGTGAAAGTCTCATCCAGTGATAAATGAGGAGTTGCAGTTAAGAGATAGGTATCCAAAAGCATAATATACAGATAGACAGACTTCTCTATCCCTCTCAACTTTCCTCCACTCTCTCTCTCTCCCTCCACTCTCTCCCTCCACTCTTACTCTCTCCCTACACACTCTCCTTCCACTCTCACTCTCTCCCCACTCTCTCTTTCTCCCCAAACTCTCCCTCCACTCTCTACCTCTCCCATTCTCCCCCTCCACTCTCACTCTCTACCCCTCCACTCTCATTCTCCCCCCCACTCTCCACAATCTTCCCCTCCACTCTCTCCCCACACTCACCCCACACTCTCCCTTGTCTCTCACTCTCTCCAATCTCTCTCCCCACACTCCACTCTCCCTCCCCCCAGAGACACTTTCTCTCTCTTTCTACAGTCTCTTTCTCACCATTCTGTCTCTCTCTCTCTCCAACTCTCTCTTTCACCCTACTCTCTCCATTCTCTCTCTCCCTAAACTCTCTACCCACACTCTTTTCCCCTCTCTTTACCCACTCTCTACCAATACAGAGAGTTGTTCAGAGTGGAGATAGATTTCCACCCTCTTCGGAGGAAGAGAGCAGAGAATGTAAGGAGAGGTTCCACTCTCTTAGCAGAAGAGAGTGGAGAGAAAGAAGAGAGGCAAATTTCTCCCCTACTCGTCTTCCCTCCCTACATTCAGTCTTACCAAACATTCCCTTTTCCCCCACTTTCTCACTCTCTCTTTCTTTTTTTTTTTTTTGTTTGTCTGTCTAATTTATTTATGTGAAATAAGCTATCTATATGCATAAAACTTTGATATTTTATAGTTTATTTCCGATAAAATCAATGGGGAAAATTTATTTTACAACAAAGACAAAAAAGAAAATAAGGATTTTCTATACATTATTCTTGGTCTTTTTATTTTAAAATGTATTTTACAGATTTGTTTAATTATGGAAAAAATGAATGCAATTTAAAGTGATAAGGTCAATAACTTCACATAATAGAAAGAATTTCTTCCCGAATCACAAGACCATCTGGATATCATTAATTTGTTGTACCATTTTTAGTGAGCGACTGATACCCTAAATCATTCACATGCAGAATACACGTCTAAAAACTATATTTCTTTTGATGTATACATACATACTAGTACACATACACTCTCTCTTTCCCTTGTATGCATTCAGTTAAGTTTAATTCTACTTTTTATAATTTTTGTCCTATTCAAATATCCTGTCGTTGCATTGAATGTTAGCCAAAATGCACTTTCTTATTTTCTCTTTGCATATATAATATTCGTTTGTGTTTCATTAAAATGCGTACTGTCAATAATCTTACATGTAACCTATACGGTTGCATGGTTCTACTCTATTGAACGCGGATTTCAACCTTACATTTTTGAAAGGGCAGTGTTAAATGATTGACCGTTAGGCCATCAGTGTAATTTGAGTAAATGTTCACCTAATTACGGGCCCTAGCCATGCTTCTGGGGGAAAAAACAATCACTCAATTAAGAAATAGAGCCATTTAATCAAAAAAGAGAGTCATAAAAAATATGGGCTAAAAGTGTGTTTACATATGCCTCCGTTGCGCATAGCGCGCCCTCATCCAAGCCACGTAACGCTATAGAGATAAAAAATTGTAAATCACAAAACTCTTAAAACAAGCATTCAATTCTAAGTATAAAGAACGGATTTAAATTATGAAAAGAACCGGGGTGAAAGAGTGGGTGCAAACATTAAAAAAGTTTAAAAGTTTCGCGAATATACACGAAAGTTGCGTAACTTTTCCATTTTTGCGTTATGAAGCGGAACTTTTGCGAATAAATGCGAGTTATGTTCGCTAATAAGGCAAATTTTCTTTCTCAAATAAACGCAAAACTTTCACGTTATAAGGATCGAGAAACTTCCTTGAATAAAAGCGAAACCTTTGCAAAAATGCGCAGAACTTCTGCTTATTTATAAACGCAAAACTTTCGCAAAAATACGCTAAAATTTCGCTTGAAACGCGCAACTTTCGCAAAAAGATGTTTTTCTCTTTACAACTACAACACTTAACTTTCGCGAAATAAACGCGAAATGTTTGCGTTTTAACGCGTAACCTTCGCATTTTTACGCGAATATTTTGCGTTATAACGCACAACTTCAGCGAACTAACGCGAAGCTAATGTGGAATTGCCTACTCCTGTTATGGTCAACGGTGGAAAACTATGCCAGACAGACTTTATTTACCTGAGTAGCATCATTAAACCAGAGGAGGGTATCCACATAAAGTACAGCTGACTATAGGCAAAGCCATAAGCGTATTTAGAGAAATGAGTAAGATTTTGAGATCTGTACAGTTCAGCACCAAGATGAAGTCCTACCAGAGCTTTGTTATATCAACTCTCCTGTATGGATCGGAATGCTGGAGAATAAGAGAGACAGATCTTTACGATCCTTCCACATCGCCTGTCTCCGCAGAATACACAGGATTTTCTGGCCTGGGAAGATTACAAATGTAGACCCGCTGAGAAGGCGCAAACAAGAGGACATGGGTACCATCATTACCAAACGCTGATGGAGATGGAAAAGATCCCCAGTCAACAATGACATCACTGCATCGGACCCCCAAAGAGCAAAAGAAAGAGAGGGAGGCCTAGAACATCAAGGCGAAGGACATTGAAAGTGAGATGAAAGCTATGCACCAGACCTAGGGACCATTGACGAGAATGGCGAAGAATAGACAAGAGTGGGGGAAGTCTGCTGCTGCCCTCCACACAACAGGGTGTAAAGGACTGATGATGAAATGCGCTCAATGGGCTTCCATACTTGCTAAATAAAAATTTACTGAATGGAAAGATTAACCCATACCGCCCTCTCCGCTTATTAGATGGGTACATCATACTCACCATTCACTTTACTTATTTTACTAAACCAAAAAAATCTTAATATATTGAGCATCCTATACGTTAACTTTACAAATGTCCTTATTTTTTTATTAATTTAAAAAATCATTGCAATTCTTCACGACAAATTCAAAACCATCAGTTCGTATAGTAAAATCCCCCCCCCCCAATAAACCCCTACTAGAACCTTTCATTAACCCACCTTTTCTTTTGCTTCAATGACAGCTAAATCCACGTAGGAGAGGTAAGAAGGGCGCGGGATCTTGATAGGCGTGATATCCAGACATCCATCCATTGGTACATGTGTAAGGCTATTGATCAACCTCTACTAGGTAGTAAGCTTACATAGTTACCGTGGTAACAATTTCCAGGTATACAAGAATAAAATCAATGATTTGCAGTATCCAGTGCCACAAACGATTACTTTAAAGGATAATATTTGTTAAACAATATAAACTAATTGTAAATTTTTGAGATAAGTATTTGAAAGACTAGTATATGTATCACATGCGCGGATCTAAAAAGTGAAAAGGAAGGAGGTTGAGAGAGACACCCCCCCCCCCCCCAAAAAAAAACGGATTTTGAAATGTAAATTAATTTTTGAGTAAAAGAAATGAAAAAATGGCAAGAAGACAGATCCCTCATAATATGCTAAGAATAAATGAATATCTCGCTATTTTAAGTTGATGTGGAAACATCCCCCCAATTGATGCGGACCCACCAGTTTTGTGGGAAAAATCTTGGATCAGCACTTACATAAGACTTTCTAGTGCATGATTTAACACGAGTAGTAATTTGAGTACAATCATTCCTATTCAAGTATTTCTGATCAATATGCTTTTTTTTCAAATATTGTTAGGTTGTTTTGTCCATTTTACTTCTCTCTCTTCATTCTTCCCTTTATCGATTTTTTGCCCGTAAAAAATACCAAGAAAGATGTTAAACTCAGAAGTATGATAATTTATTTTCAAACTAAAATTTTATAGGATCGATATCCACTCAGAACAGTCAGGGTGGCGGATCAATCCATGCTGCCTAGCGCCGGGAGCGTGGGGAGTCACCAGGCGAACGTTGACCGCCTTTTTTGTTTTTTCCAGCACGCTTACACAGGCAGAATGTGAAACCAAGTCCAAGTAACTGACAAAATAAAACAAATAAATATGTCATTTTAAAAGAGGAATTGAAAAGTTGAAATGCAGCTTTTTGAAACATTTGAGACGCTAGGAAGAGAAACTTAAAATTTCCGTGATTCTACATATAGTTTAATACTCTGTAATAATCAGAAAAGACGGTTATTTACAAAAACAGGTACTCAATCACATATTGTTGTTTAATTTGTTTGTGTTCGTTTTTTAATATACCTGGAAAAGGGCCACACTGATGCCAAATCCTCCCAGCATATCGACATTGGATTGGATCCACGTTAGCATCTTGGTATAACAACCCTACAACATTATACACCAGATTCATTTGCATTCAGTTCAGTTGTCTGGGTTCTAGAGATTTTGTATATATTTAATACATTTTCTAGACGAAACAGTGATTTACGTTAACTTTCAAGTTTATTGCGCACCCCCCTCTCCGCCACTGATACAAGGTTCATCAAGGTTTATTTTTGCTTTAATTGTTCTTATCGGAAATTTTTGAAACGTCACTTTCATCAGGATGAAAGATCTATGAAATGTGGCTATTAAACTTTCGTATGTGTGAACATCATTAGTGAAATCCATATATACCGATTATACCCACTGACATAATTGTACTAATTTAACAGTTGCTCGTACCTGTGAGTAGATGGTGCTATTGTTGATGGCCGCATTGCAGCCGTTGGCGTTCCTGTCTATACAGCAGGACACAGGCACAGCCGCACTGGAGTTGAAGTAGGTGGCGTTATTCCAATCACTTGGTGAATTGAAACCGCAGCACTCAAACTGTGGAAGACAAAAAGTAACATTATACTTTGTAGAAAGATACATTATATTGAAAAAAAAAAAATAAACATTTTTGATAATCAGAAGTTATAAATTACAAGATACACATTATATTTACTTCCTTAAAGAAAATCTGTAAAAATATATGTATTTCATATTTAATATATAAAGTTGCTTATCATTTACTATCGAAAAAACAATTTTTCACATCGAATTTTACTTAGCATAAAAACGTATATATATACCGGTGAAGGGCGTGTATGGTTTCATTAGTATTTTATGCAGCAAACCTTTGAAGTTTAAAATACTCGGCACACAGGGCCATTGAGCAGTGAGGAATCCTTATCGTGCCAACGCCTACCGTGACAAGGGGGTTCGATTTTTAAGGTCTCATCCGAAGGGCTCGCATCTTTCATTCAAAATGCCGAGCGCATGGTGAAGGAACAGTTGCTACCATTTTTTATATTGACTAGGGTAAGTCGCGACCGAGATCCAAACTCACGATCTTTCGATTACGGAGCCAGCCAATTTAGAAAGGATGAACCAAAATACATATACTACTAAACATAGTCTTTGGATATATCTTTTTTTTGAACAACAATTATTTACCCCCCCTCGACGTTTTCAAGCTTAAGGTCCATACCTCCATTTGCAGTTCATCCACAGCTAAAGTGACCAGGTTGTACTCTTTGCGTCCATACTTGCTGCTTATTGTATCCTTGACTTTACTTGTCAAAAATGGCTCCAGCTAAAAGACACAATAATTTTTTTTAAGTTCCAAACCACATTTTATTTAGAACATATTACAAGAGAATGAATAAAAATTGCTTCTATTTTCAATCTACTTCTAGCAATAAAAATGAATCAGGTACCTGTCCGTAGAAGAGGAACCCCACAACACCTGCTGCAGCCTCTAATATGAAGGTGATTAACAGGACCGTAAAATACTGAAACAAAGCAACAATTTCGACAGTATTACATGTACATGTATATTCAAGTCACGTAATACATGGAACATAGTGACTGAGATTTATGCAATTGTTTTGGATCATATGCTCATATATGAGTCTGTCTCTAATATTATGCTGAGCTATTTTGACAACATAGTTCTGTTTATTGTGTTGCAATTTTCAGCTGAATTTTCAGTGAAGCCTTTTGAAAATTATAAAGCTGACATTGATCTTACGAAGATCAGAAGACATTTGTTCTCGACTAATGCACCAAAACACCCCGCCATGGACACCAAGATGACAGCTCCCCCCGCTGCTAGTAACAGGTAAGCCCCGCTCTCCATCAAGTTCTCTCCGACCAGGGCTCCAAACTGCTCACCATTGGCGATGGTATAAGCACCCATGGCGGCGACTCCCATGCCACAAAGCTGAAAGTGATAAAATTAAAACAGAATTTGATAATATTTGTGACCAAAATCAAAACAAGGGCTGTCATCAGCTTTTTTGAGGGTCGGTGGGGAAAGGGAGAGAGTTTATATAGACCTTTACACGAGAGACTCTACCGTAAGGCATTCTAGGATATTGTCCTGGAATTCATTTGACTCTTTAAAAAATGTGTGAACACATTCTAGCAGTATCAAGTTAATCTTCATGTTTTAGTATCAATTTTTAAGTTTTAGAGCTGAATGTGTCCTAATTTTTTACCTTTATCTGTCCTTGAAAAGTTATCCTTCTTTGCCTTTAATCAATAAAAATAAATATTTTAAAAAATCTATCTTGTGAAAAATTAGTATTTAATTTTTTTTATTCTTAGAAATTATATACCATAGCATTTTTAGTATTTAAATTTTTATTTTCAAAAATTTGCTTGCTTCCCTAGACCTCAATGCATTCTTCATTAATTAATTACTGCTCAGGTAATTATATTTTTGAAAATTTCCCCTAGTAAATCATCTTCTATTCTAAACTGCTTTGAATTGGTTTCAGAGTATTCAATACAGGATGAATATTTAAAATTAGAAAATTATGTCATAATATGGGTCGGTAGTACCTTAAGGAAAGGGGCAGCAAAAAGAGCGACTAATCTGACATTTCTTATGCCAGTTATGGCCTTAAATTTCAAAAGTCATAACTGTTTTTTCTTTAACTAAATCAACTGTGCATAAGAGTGAAATTTAAGTTGAAAATTTATTGATGATGTTTATTAAAATTTAAAACTAAATAGGCCTATATATTAGATCTATTGTCAGGTCCTAGTGTCTTTCCACAAATTTTATTTAAAAATAAACTTTTTGTTATGACTACTTGCCAAGCGAGTCATCCCCCAATATAATAAAAATATTGTCCCCAATTATTTGTTCATAGCACACGTTCAAAGAGTGTCAAAAATTAGACGTGTCACTAGTACTTACCAGAAATAGAAAATTGAAAATAACCACCACGTATTTCACTAATGTCATCGATGTCATGATAGTACCTTTAAATCTGCAAGTATAATATTTGTCACGATAATAAATTCATTTATGAACCATTTATTTTATAAATTTTGACTCTGAATTTTAGGAAATTCAATATATTGTCCATTTTTGGTTTCTTTATTTGTTCTTTTCCACGTTTTTGGCAAAAATGTGAAAAAGAACAAATAAACAAACAAAAACATTTTTGCTTCACAATCCAAATGAATGAAGGCTGGATTCGTTGATCTCAAACATTCTTTCAACAGAAATTGAAACCTAATTTCAGGTACATTCCTACCATGGAAAACTTACGTTGATGCTGAGACTTTTCAAAACTTGGCAACGTTCAACTTTATAAAAGTCAGGGTTGCAAACACGCTTGAATATTAGGGACTCGGACACGAACTCATTCATTTTGCACGGCCTCAAATCTGACAACGAGATGCTCACATAAGATTGGTAGTCACGGTATACCGTATGGACCATGAATCTTAACAGATTTGAAATTTCGCGCAATGCGAAACTAAGGACGAAAATATATGTCACGGTCAAGGATATTCTTTATAAACTGGGACGGAGACGTCCAACTCTGAGCAGCAACTTATCATACAACACGCACGTGCACGTTGGAGCTGCAAAGAAAAGAAATCAAGACAAACTCATCTGCGTATGCAAAGAAGGTGTTGCATAAAAAATATTTTTGAAGCTACACGTGCATGATATCGTCAACTAGGCCTGTCAACGATAACGCACTATTTGACCGAATTTACTCGGAGATAGGTCGAAAATTTTAGAATCAAGACGACACGTGTATGATTTTAAAGAAGAAATGTCAACCACGAGAGACAAGCAAATAATATTGAAATTGGGCAGTAAAGGACGTGTGCCAGCACTAGGATTTGGAACATATGCCCCTAGAGAGGTAAGCCTTGAGAACAATATCCATGGCATGGGAACGCATATACATGTAATATTAACTTTGTGACCTCAGTCAAGTGCTGGTATTTTCACTTGATAAACATGATAAACAACAGTTTGCAATTTTTCACTATAAGGCCATCCTTAAAAAATTGTTTGTGGAATTTTCACTTGAAAATAAACATGACACTATAAACAACATGTAATGGGTAAAAAAAAAGTTAAAAAAAAAATCTTCCTACTTTTGCAAATTTTCACTACAATTCTATAGTATTTAAATCAAGTTAAGATATAATATTTAATAATGTTTTTAACAGTGAAAAAATTGAAAATTTTTATTTTGGCTATAAAAATCATATATGTAAAAAGGAATAACTTTTGGTTAGCAAGTTTTTTGACCTAGATTGACATCCCAAACTTCATGTAATTCAACAACCAGGTAAACAAATTAAAATAGAATAAGACCAAAAATTAGATATTAAGTCAGGTGTCATCAGATAGTACATGTAGTAGTCTAGACTCGGCTTTTATCAGGTTAAAATATGTTCATATACCTGTATACTTGTCTTGCTATCTCAAGATTGTTTTATTTATGAAATTAGACTGTACATGGAGATAAAAATAAATGCAATTGACCGGCTATCATTAACACTATACTGTCACCTGCATCATGTGCAGTGGACAGAGTGTTTGCTGTAAGGTTATGAAATAAGATGATCGTTACATCAAGGGATGAAGAACCACTGCAGGACATGAAGATCATTTTTTCCTCCATCTGGCTTCAAATGAGACAATAAATGTAAATGTTGGTCTGATGTCACAGTACAATTATGTAGGTGATGGCACAAAAAGCTCCCTCACTGCTCAAATGCCCCAGGTGAAATCTCTTTATAAGTGAAAAATTCTTTGATTTTTCGCATACATACCGCAAAAAAGTCGGGGGAAGATAAAATGTGATACCATGGGCATCCCGTGAAGGCTTTTGAGCAGATTTAATCAGAGATGCATGGAAGTTGCTTCTAGTATGTTTCTTTGTAGCAGTCAAGGTTACAGATGCTGCAAGGTCAACTTTAAACTATAACATGTATAAGTTAACTATAAAGCCTATATTGACCAAACTTGCATGGATGATATCTAAGGAAGTACAATACCAGGCTTGCTTCGGATGTTAGATCAACTGTACATTTTCTTTTCTAGATGAGTGACCGGGTAAAAGTTTTTGGAGCATTCTCATTTCCAAGTTACTAATAAGCTCTATGTTGACCAAACTTGCAAGGATGATACATCTAAGAATTGCACTACCAAGCTTGTTTTGGATGCAGTATCTGACATACATTTTCCAGAAAAGCATATTTGGAGCAGGTCCATTCCCAAGTAACCATAAGCTCTATGCATGTATTGACCAAACTTGCATGGATGGTACATCTAAGGATGCACTTTACCAAGCTTGCTTCAGATGCTGGGTCTGACTCACATTTTCTAGAAAAGTAATCAGGTTTTTGGAGCAGATCCATTCCAAAGTTACTATAAGACCTACCTATGTTTCAATGATTTCATGTATGAGTTGACTTATAACCCCCCCCCCCCCCCCCCCCCCCCCCCCCCCAATGAGAAGACCTCTCCAGCCCTCCCTTCATTACAAATTATTATACTGGGATGCTGTACACGTATATCATTAGCCTGTGGAGGACTGCAAATTTACACCTTTTAAAACTTTTAATTATGGTCTAGCATTGAGAAGTGGGGAACATTTTTTATGACAACATCTACCTACATGTACTATGACTTTTAAGACCTCAGTTTCTCAGGGTCATACTATAAAATCACCATTTAAGGACTAATTTCCAGGTCCCTCAGGGAGATTCAAACCCAGCAATGTAAGGGTCAATTCCTTATCTCTATAGACTCTGCAATAATAGTTTAAATTTTATTTTTAACGAGATTAAAGATCAATATCAAGGACAAAAGGTCAGGTTGCCTGCATATTTAAACAAACTAGGATTTAAGACTAAGACAAAAGCTAACAGCAATTTTTTTTACCTATCATTTTTGGAAATATATTACAGATATTGAGATTTTAACTCCATTTGATGTATACATTGTATGAAATAAAAATATCAATGATATACCATATAAGCAAAATTTTTAGCAAGGATTTAATTTTGGCATTATTAGCGAGGGTGCCAAGATCGCTAAAATTGAATATCGCTAAAAATTAATTGCGCTTTATTTGTATTAGCTTCTATTGTTATCTTTTTAAAATCGCTAAAATTACATCTCACTAACAATAAAATTCTAGTTTTTAAGGAAAAATCGCTAAATTTGTGTGTCGCTAAAATTTCACTTACCAGTATATGGTAGTATGAATTTTATAAATTAGCAATTATAATGCCATTGAGAACTTCTTCTGTTCAGAGTGAAGATGATGTGTATGAAGCAGTGCGAGTGGCTATAAAAGCAGGGTACCGACATCTAGACTGTGCTGCCATCTATAGGAATGAGAGAGCAGTGGGTCAGGCCATCAAACAAACTATCGTAGAAGACAAGGTCAAGAGGGAGGACTTGTTCATCACAAGCAAGGTTTATTTATTTGTTAAACAAAGCAGCTCAGTTTATTCAGTAGTTATAAGTTAAATGAGTGAAATCTCAGACCCCCCCTCACACACACACAATTCACAATCATTGATGTAAATTTCACATTTTCTATTTATATTTTTGTACCATTTTCATATTTAGCCCCTTAAAAGTTAATTGCATTAAATAAGAGTACACAAAGTACATTGTACATTTTACTTCAAAAAGTTTGGGCTGTGTGACTTTTACATGCATATCAACTTTTCATTTTATTTCAGCTATGGAATTCCTGTCACAGTCCAGATTTAGTAAGAACTAGCCTCAAAAAGAGCATGGAAGACCTAGGACTGCAGTACTTGGATCTGTACCTCATCCACTGGCCAATTGGTCTAAAGGTGAGATTACTTTACATTTGGTATATATGCATGCATTTACGGTATAGCAGGTTTTCTTGGCAGTCGTAAAATTTGGTGTTTTGCTTGCTCTAAGGTATGACAGTAGTTTTAGCGTAATTTATTTTAGTGGACGCAGGCTTTAAGCTCTTTGCAGATGGACACTTATAAGATTACTGACTATTTTAGTGATTGAAATTTTGACGGATTATCATCAAAACACCAAAATAAGCCAAAATTAGCACCCCGTTAAAATAACCTGCTATGCAGTATATGTCAAGGTAGTTTGTTTTTCTAACCCTATATAAATTCTTAATTTCTAGGAAGGAGGTGCATTTATTCCAAAGGATGAAAAAGGAAATGTTCTATTCTCTGATGTTGACTATGTAGACACTTGGAAGGTAAATATCAGAGAAAAGAAATTATTATCATGATTCTAGTAGTAATGAATTCTGACTGATTGGTTCAGAAAAAAAAAGAACAAAAGTGTTTGTATTTTATTCCAAAATTAAGTTTTCGTAGAAAGAAGAGAGGTAAATAACAAACACATTTCTGTTGTAGGCAATGGAAGACTGTGTGGATGAGGGACTTGTAAAACACATTGGATTGTCCAACTTTAACAGTGAGCAAATCCAAAGAATTCTGGATGTAGCCAGGATTAAACCTGTCATGAATCAGGTGGGACTTGCTTAAATGTTTTTCACTTGAATATAAATTAACAATCAAAGAGAACTAAAATGAAGTACACTGCACTCTGTAATTTAAACTAGTATGTAATATGATCAAAGAAATTTAGATGGGATGAAACAACTTTGTATTTAGACATGTTTGTTTACTAGTATTTGTTTTAAATGATGAAATTTTAAAAATTTAGGGTTTCCTCTTTATAAAATGACTTATTTAAGTTGTATTAAAATTACATATGTGACATGTATCTACTGTATATTATATTCAGGTAAAAAAAAAAACTTCTTCATTTCTTTCACAAGAAAGAGTATTATATCTGCATACATTATATTTTCACAGGTTGAATGTCATATATACCTAAGTCAAGAAAAGCTGATAGAATTTTGCAAAGCCCGGGGCATTACAGTAACAGCATACTCTCCATTTGCTAGTCCTGGACACAAAACGTAAGGTGGACAATGAATGTCAGTTTCTGTTACCTTATACCTTATTGATCTAAGAAGCTTTGTTTCAATTTTAAAGGGGTAAATTTTCTAAGATCCTCACTTTGTGAAGTTGATTCAAGTTTATTCCAATATAGGGTAATACCTTCTTTCAAAGGAAGACAACTCAGAATTGTGATAATTTAAGAACATCTATTACATAATCTGTTTAAGAATCACTGGGCCAAAATATAGACATTATGTGAAACCTTCATTATGTATAGTGGAGATTCAAGTTCCTTTAAATCATGATTGAAGTTTAACAATAATTTATAATTAAAAACAAATCTGCTGATGAGGAACATCAGGGTCATATTGATTCAGATGAGTGTAGTGGCCTATGGGCCTCTTGTTAAAAATTTCTTGGGAATAATTCATGTACCAGCATCATATTGAGTTTTTATACACCAGCATGATCTTTGTTACCTGTTTTCTATAGTATTCCTTACACCCCATGCCTGCAGGAGCCAGTCATAGTAGATATTGCTAAAAACAAGCAAAAGACTCCTGCTCAGGTAATTCCAGTTTCATGACCATAATAGATGACATTGAAATGCATTTTGTAGTGGATGTCTGTGGTGAATCTGATATTCTAAGCTGCAGGTTGTCTTTTTCAGGTCATTATAAGGTTTCTTCTTCAGAGAGAACTAGTGGTGATTCCAAAATCAGTCAGTCCTGGTAGAGTCATTGAAAATTTTCAGGTAAATGACCAACCATTTTTTTCTTATACATGTATACATGTAATTTTGCAATTTCTTACAGTGCAAAGAACTTTTTCTGCTGCATAAACGAAATATAGACTTTATCGACTTCATTAAAAACCATATTGCTAGGCAGAAAAATATGTTTTTGTTATACCCTTATAAATATTTCTATATAATATATAAAAAGTCCAACAAAAGAAATTGCTACTTTCAGATATGTTAAAACAACTTGATTTAGTCATGCCCAAGAAGTTAGAGTTGCTGCTAACAGCATAAACGAAATATATTTTGTGATAAATAATTTTTGTGATCTAGATATATAATTGCTTCAGCTTGATGTTTTATATTTTAAAAACATACATATCTAATTTTTTTTTGAGCAGTGAAGGGTATAACAAAACAGTTATAGAATTATCTTGGCCTGCGGCCTCGGGCAACAAGGCATTGCATAGATAAAATATGTTTATATTGCAGGTGTTTGATTTTGAACTGACAGATGAAGAAATGAAAAAGATCCTTGCTTTGAATAAAAATCATAGAATTAACACAGAGGATATGTAAGTACATGTATAGCAAAACTGTGTTGTAGATGTACATTTGATTGTTTGAACAATTAAATATATTCATTAATTTATTTGACTAAAACATTTGAACAACTGAAAATGACATATTTTTGACACCTTATTCTCACTAAAAAGTCATTTGGAATTAGTAAAGCAAGACAAAATTTTTGTTGTTGCTAATAATTCTTTGAAATATTGACATTAGAAATCCATTAGAAATTTTTACTTTATTTCTACATGACTTTTCCTTTGTTTTACAGAGCATTGACACACAAGTACTATCCATTCAACATTGAATTCTAATACAGATTCTTCAGCTGAACCATCTCCTTCTATGTAGAATATGCAAATTTAAACCTGTATTTTTGTGTTTCCTATGTGATTTTTGTGCATGGAGAATCAGTTTGTTTTGAATGGCATTACACAATGTGACAATCAAAGAAATCTAAAGTGCTTCTTTCGATGAAGCTGAATAAGTATTTCAAATGTGTATATGTGATTATAAGTGTTATAATTATTAATGTTCAAAGTCCTTGTTAATTACCTCTTAGGTAAAGGAACCTGTAGTTATACAGAGTTAAAGATATACTGTAGATCACTAAATTTTCGCGACACCTTATTTTCGCGAGATAGTCATTGACTCTTGATTAGCGAGACAAAATTTTCGCGAAGTGTGGTTATTGTTCTATATAATCTTAAGGAATGCTATTATATGCGAGAATTAAATTTTCGCGAGCACACTGTCTCGCGTAATTACGCAAAAATAAAGTTCTCGCGAATAAAACATGATTTACAGTATTGTTTACTATTTAGTTCCTAATTATCAAATGAAAGGCACATTATTTTATTTTTTTGGGGGAAAAAATCTTATGCTCTTTATACTTCATTTCATTAGGACTTACTATTGGTCATTTGCATATCCAGTAAAAGAACCAAATTCGAATTAAAAACAGACTCCTTTTCCACATAAAAGTAGAAATTCCAAGATAATTTTGATTTTTTAAGTGTTTTCCAGAAATCTGCATTTTCATTGATGTAAATATAGGATAAGCCTTTTATTCAAACAGTCTTTGTTTTACAATTTACATATTTTATTACAAATAATCACTTAATCACATTTTAACATTTTCTGATTAAATTCCCATTGAAAGGATATAAGACCCTGTTAATAAACCCTGGCCATTTTTTATTTTTGTTCAGTGTTCATTTTTGTGCCATAGATTATCTTCATTAATTTTTCACCTTACGTATGTCTGTAATCTTATTTAACCCTGCTTTTAAGATGCCGGAAAGCAATAAATTTTTTAATTTTTTTGAAAAATTTTAAGTTTCAAAAGCATAGTTATTGTTATTTCTAAAAATGCCTCAAGTTGTGGAAATTTAGCTTGTTAAATCTTGCTTTTGATGAGGTATGTGTTATGATATTTTTTTGAACATATGTGTAAGTAGATGTTTAAGATTGTCTATTTACTGTTGATTTTAATTTTGTGACAATTTTTATGGTTGAACCATGAAGCAAAATGTTGCAATATTTTTTTTTTTTTTTTACTTCTGATTATTATTTTAAGGAAATACTGTAGGTATTTGTATACCCAAACAATGCAGGTATAATTTTAGTATGTTTTCTAAAAAGAAAAATTCATAATAGGTTTAATATAATTTGTAGTCAAGTATCAAAATTGAAGTTTGAATGCACTGTCAGTATCTAATTTTATTTGTACATAGCTCATACACTTATCCATATGACTTTAAAAGTCTTTGGTGCCTGTACAATTATGCAATCACATTTAATATTAAAATATCAAATTAATGAATGCATTGTTTTTGGATTTTTTGATAACTAATATGTAAGAGAAAAAGGGGAAAATGCATGACTAGACTGGGCATCAAGCTGAGGACCCTGCTGATATTCGCGGAAACTATAACATTCTGCTCCAATGAAGATACGCGGGTTGTTCGATATGTATTGTGTACCACAGCGCGATAACGCCTTGCACGATTTCGTCGATATTTATACGCCTGGATAACTCTATTCAATACCTTGCCAACAGTATAAACATGAGCCTTCATCTACACATGGTTATAAAATAATCGTCATTTCAGTAGAGCCATTCGTTGACCACTGTTGTAAAAATGGTTGGGAAAATGGGTGAGAATATTGAAGAAATTAGAGCTTATATAAAAGTTCGCACAAAACTCGGTAATTCGGTAAAGCAGATTTTTACTGAATTGGGGGAAGTTTATGGGTCTGATAAGGTATCTTATGAGACAGTTCGTAGGTGGAGACAGAAATTTCTGACTGGTACAGAGTCCGTCAAAGATGCAGCAAAATTGGGTCGACATGTGACTGTATCAGGCAAGACAAATGTCTCAAAAGTCAAGGAAACAGATGAAAGTGATGGCACTGGTACACGATTTGTGATATTGCCAAAGCTGTTGGCATATCGCTATCGCGGTTGCATTTCATTTTGAAGCGTATTTTGAAAGTACGAAAAATTTCTGCCAGATGGATACCCCATATATTGACAGATGACCATAAAAAGGTACGAATACAAACCGCTAAGCGACTGCTAAAAATGTTTCCAAACTTCAATCAAAGACAGTTTGCAAACATAGTTACTGGTGACGAAACATGGGTTCACTATTTCGAACCAGTAAGAAAAGTTGGAAAGAAATTATGGCTAACCAAACACGTAGAAGGCCTGTAGTTGCCAAAAGGACAATGAGCACAAAGAAGGTCCTTTATTGCATATTCTTCTCTTGTGATGGTTTAGCCTGTATTTATTCCGGTGCCGAAGGGCAAAAAAGTATTACAGGTCGGTATTACCGAGATGTTGTACTGAAAAAGCTCAAGAAATATTATCAGAAACGAAGTCCTGTGTCGGAATTTAGGCATGTTCGCCTTCTTCATGATAATGCTCCATCACATACATCTGAGCTTGTGAAGCAATTTTTGAAGTCTGAGAAGGTAACCGTCTTGCCACACCCACCATACTTTCCGGATCTAGCACCATGCGACTTTTTCCTTTTTCCAAAACTTAAAAAGTTCTTATCTGGTCGCTTTACAAGTCCCGACAGGCCCTTGGCTCAGCCGTCAGTCAGTGCCTCAGAGGGTATACCTAAATCAGCGTACCATGACGCATTTCAGAAATGGATTCAGAGATTAAAATTGTGTATTTCAAATCACGGAGAATACTTTGAAGGGATATAATGTCCATTGGACTATTTGAATCAAATGCTTTTGAGATATCGTACAATACACAATACATATCGAACAACCCTCGTACATGTACAACATAAGTTTTTAATGTGCCCCAGGTAAGTTAAAGTAATTCACCCTCAAGTTCAGGGGTGGTCAGAGGCACCAAATCTGGAATGAGAAAAGGAAAAAGTGTATGGTTGGATTGCAGGAAAGGTAATTTAAACCACGACTCCTGCATCACTGATTTATAGTTGCTTATCGACTGAGCTTACAGGAAGATATCCATGGCTCAAACTATTACAATATAATGCAGCCATTGTACTCCAAAAGCAAAATCACAGTGATCTACATTGGGTCATGAGACATCATTTACTATATACATAGTTATTTTTGCCCTTTAACACTCACAAAACAATTTGCCCAGTCACAGTCATCGTCGCAAACAACGGCTAAAATGTAGACTACGATCCTCTTTAATCTGGATGAGAGAGCTAATAACATGCGGACTCGAACCGTGGCTTGAGACTACGAGTTACAGTTTATACTGTTTTTTTTATTCGCCATGTTTACATTCGTCCACCTGATGTTATTAATTTCAATGAGAATATATTCGCCATTTGACATCCGCTAATTAAATAGCGCCGAGAATGGCATGCCTTAATGAAAGGCCAAGCTCCACTGAGAATTGTACTATGTATACGACGAATCTAATTGTCCATAATATGTTGTATAATTTGGAATATCGGTTCCAATGGCATTCAAATCAGCCATTTGACGACACATTTTCTTTGTGAACAAATGGAGTATAATTATTTGACAATCAATGTTCCGAAGAAAGCTGAACAAGTTCCACGGGAAAAAGTTTCCTCTTAAATGCGCATCGTTGCATAGATGTCATCATGTCATTATGTTATATCAGTAAACAACGATCGAAGAGAGCTCATAACCTTTCAAGGAAAAGGAAAGTATTACCACTTCAATTCTTTTTACCGGTATTTTATCTTTCAAACTTTACATAGTGCAGACCAAGGACTTTCAAATCTTGTAAGTTGTATGTTGTTGTATGGAAGGTATGGGTAACCAGGGCTTGATCAAAACGTTTTAAATTATCTGTGCCTTTAATCATTGATTTAAGATAAATTTAAACGTCAGTGTAATTTTACAGACAGCTAATGCAAAATGTAAATATTACAAGTAGCTTGTATAGTAATAATGATGAAATGAAACTAAAAGGAAAATTTAATATAAATCACATAAGGTACGTAAATGAATTTAACAAAATATGAATTTTGAAAATTGAAATATAATGAAAGATTTAAATAAGCTACGTCGACGTCATTACAAGAAAAACAAAGCCATTTTTGCTTGTAAAAATATATGCTTTACAAATAAGATATACATTGTATTTATGTGTAATATAAGCAATACTTAGTCTTCAGAATGAATGATTGTTCACTTTTGTTTTACTTAAAACCAAGGATGGTTCTAGTGGATGTTCCACTAAGAATAAATGTATTTAAAAATTATGTTACAGTTTCCTTACAATTTTGTTTGGGATCCTTTCTAAAAGCCATTTTGTTCAGTGCAACTTTAACGAGTCCAATCAGACTCTCATCAAGAGCATACTCAATGAGCACCAGAAACAAGTAGATGACAAACTCAGTGAGCACCAGAAACAAGTAGATGGAGAACTCAATGAGTACCAGAAACAAGTAGATGGAAAACTCAATGAGCACCAGAAACAAGTTGATGGAGAACTCAATGAGCACCAGAAACAAGTAGATGGAAAACTCAATGAGCATCAGAAACAAGTAGATGGCAAACTCAATGAGCACCAGAAACAAGTAGATGGCAAACTCAATGAGCATCAGAAACAAGTAGATGACAAACTCAATGAGCACCAGAAACAAGTAGATGGAGTACTCAATGAGCAACAGAAACAAGTAGATGGAGAACTCAATGAGCACCAGAAAAAAGTAGATGACAAACTCAATGAGCACCAGAAACAAGTAGATGGGCACAACAGAAACAAGTAGATGGAAAACTCAATGAGCACCAGAAACAAGTAGATGGAGAACTCAATGAGCACCAGAAACAAGTAGATGGAGAACTCAATGAGCACCAGAAACAAGTAGATGGAGAACTCAATGAGCATCAGATACAAGTAGATGGAGAACTTAATGAGCACCAGAGACAAGTAGATGGAGTACTCAATGAGCACCAGAAACAAGTAGATGGAGAACTCAATGAGCACCAGAAACAAGTAGATGGAAAACTTAATGGGCACCAGAAACAAGTAGATGGCAAACTCAATGAGCAACAGAAACAAGTAGATGGAAAACTCAATGAGCAACAGAAACAAGTAGATGGAGTACTCAATGAGCACCAGAAACAAGTAGTTGGAGAACTCAATGAGCACCAGAAACAAGTAGATGGAAAACTCAATGAGCATCAGATACAAGTAGATGGAGAACTCAATGAGCACCAGATACAAGTAGATGGAGAACTCAATGAACACCACAAACAGGAAGATGGAAAACTTAATGAACACCGGAAACAAGTAGATGGAAAACTCAATGAGCACCAGAAACAAGTAGATGGCAAACTCAATGAGCACCAGAAACAAGTAGATGACAAACTCAATGAACACCAGAAACAAGTAGATGGCAAACTCAATGAGCACCAGAAACAAGTAGATGGCAAACTCAATGAGCACAAGAAACAAGTAGATGACAAACTCAATGAGCACCAGAAACAAGTACATGTAGATGACAAACTCAATGAAATGACACAGATGTTAACAAGAATGGAGCAGAGAATAGTCAAAATAGAGAGAAGTATATTAAAAATTCAGACTCTTCAAGAAAAGGCAGAACGGGCAGATGAACAATTGGAAGATAAAATTCCAAAATCAACATCCTTTCAACAATCACAGTTTAAAAAACGAAATAATGTTTTAGAAGGCAGAAAGGAATTTGAGACAAATTCATACAAAACACGACCTAAATGCACTAAAACAGGAAACGTCGAACCTTGGTTTCAAAGGTATCATAATGTAAATGCAGGAGGGAGAGAAAGAAAATTGGAAGACATGTGCAAAAAGAAGACAGTCAGTGGAAAGACACAAACGTGTTGTACGTAACAAAACTTTTTCATGAATGTACGAAATGTTTTGATCTGATTATACGTGTGTTGTATAATACGATAATATTTTAAATTTATGTTTTTGCAGATGTATTTGTTCTGGAATTACCTCTGTTACAATCAACTCCAGTCAACATTTTTGTCGCCATCAGTTGTATCTGTACTTGTTTCTGCTGTTGGTACTGTTTTTGCCGTCGTACGAAGCAAGTACTGGATTCCCCTTCGCTGAAGTCTGATTTGCAACACACAAAACCAGAAGTGAAAATACAGCCTACAGTAGTAAGTAGTAAATGATGACTGATTAGATTATTGTTGTTTTACACTGAGTCGGCAATGTTTCAGGCATAGTTCGGCAGTAAAAAAGCTCTTATGCTAAATACTGCATTAACATGTTGCAATATTTATTCATTGACTGATGTTTAAAAGTTAAATAAAAGTTAGTTATCACAATGTCATATAGAAGAATAATCCAGTTTGAATTATAATTATTTACTTGGCAAGACCAAAAAAACAATACAGTATTTCTATTTTCAACGATCAAACCCGAGAAGTGTTTAAATCTCGAAGACTCCCTCTGCATCATTAGTTTTGATGAGCAATCTAGCAGGGAACACCATCTACCAATGACGAAAGAAATCACAGAATCCGGTGAATGGGCAGCTAAACTTCAAACTAAGAGAGTCACCGTTAAAGGAGGTTATAGCGACCAGATCAAGGATATGATTCCACCATCTAAGGTATAATATATTATACTTGCTGACTTTGTTAAAAAATATGTGCATCGTCATTCATTCCATTACTTTCATGCCCTTAATCTAGGATTTTTATGGTTATAGGTTTTTCTTGTTTACGTTAATTACAATGAAGGAAATTTAATCCTGGAACGCGATAATCAAGGGCTTAGAAGGAGGACTGTTAAATATCTTTTAGAAACAGGAGGTTAGTATTTAAACTAATTTGTGTTATAAAGCTGCTAATTATATAAATTTTACTTACTGCATCTTAAAAAAAAAGCATGAATATCTCAAACAATTTTAACGAATGGAAACAATGTTTGTAGATTGTCTAATTAATAAAACATTGCAGAATGTGTGTAAATTTCCCCCAAACAGGTGTAATCTGATAGATTTTAAAGCATAAGAAAACATAAGCTAAATCCACGGGAAGTTTTCTTTTATTTTCTTTTAAAATTTTTGATTAAAAAACAGTTTTATTTTTCATAGCCATTGTTTTTATCGTGTATTGTCTCGAAAAGTCATCAGAAAATCTCCTGGATGAGATGTATGCACAGAAACTTTCCAGCATCAGCTATGATTCCATGCTGAAGAATTTCAGTGCAAAGAAGAGGATACTTAGTATTTACAAAAAGTACAGTCGACATCAGCTTGTGGCCATTTGCCAACAAATCAATAATTTTAACAAGGAAATATTAGAGAAAGACTGAAGTTAAATGGTGAATTGAAGAGCAGAATAAGTATTGCATCTTGTATATGAAGTCCACAGAGAATACAATGTAAGTATAAGACAAAAGAAAAGTGTTTTCATTTTGAATTAATATTTTAACATTCTGTAAAGGACAGATATAGGCTATGCCTGCTGCCTAATCCATTTATGTTTTAGTACATAATAAAATATGTTCAGATCAAATTAATATGCAAGCATATTGTGGTAGATTTACATCACTTTTTCAAATTTAAATTGAGAACAAGTAAGTCTTCGTTTTGTACAATTATTGATTAATTTAAAATATATTTTACTCATTGAATTGGATTGAACAATTATTGATTGACGTTTCCATTAAAAATTGAGCATAATTGATTACTAGTACTGAATGCAGTTCAAATTTTCACTTTTCATGATAATGAGAATGTGAGACGTTATTATTTCCAAATAATATTTATCATGCATTTTCATACAAATTAAAGTACACGCATCGCCAAAACACTTAATGTATTCTTGACTTTAGACAAATGGAAATATTTATTCTGAAAACAACTTTCCTATTTCTATGAAATAACTGAAAATAAATAACAACAGTATATTTTATTTCATTAAAACATGAGATTGCATTTCAAATTTCAAATATTTTTGGCACAATTTATTACAAAAAAGGAAGACTTTAAAATCGATAACAAAAATGAATATCAGTGATATCATATCTTTCCATGGTATAATATGAGACATAAAGCGTCAGTTATACAAAATATTATCACAGAAATGTCGTGGCACTTGTGATGCTCAGGTTTTCAGTTGTCCCATACCCCGAGTCTGACTTAGCCAAGACCCTATGGCGAGGAAAGCCATTTTTCAAAGGAAATGTTAGTTTTTCTGCCATTGAGACATCAGATGTAAGATTTTTTGGATCTGAAGCCATTTCATGAAGTTCATTCAGTATTTCTTGGACTGCTGCTTCGTCATGTTTATGCAAACTATTTTCATTGCTTTCAAATGCAAGGTTTTCATGACATTGTTCAAGCAAAGTGATTTTGTTAGTGGAAGAGAAATCTTTTGTCTCATTTACTTCACTTTTTTCCGAATGGGTTTCCAAAACATTATTTGACGGCGACTTAGTAACTTTTGTTTTGTTCCCCAATAATCCTCGGAAAAAGTTTTCAAAGCTGTACTTTCTGCATCGTAAGTCTTCGGTTTCTGGAGATTTCTTGCTTTGACAATATCCTTCAAAGAAACTCTCAGCACTAAGTTTCCTTATTTTGAGCTTTCCTACACCGTTTCGATTTTGGAAAGTGCGGATGTTATCCGAAACATCTCCTGCGCTAAACTTACGTCTGTTGCACCTAGTTTGCCTCTGTAATGACGTGTTTACGTCAGTTAATGAGCTACTATTGCTTGTAGTCCTTCGAAAGCTTCCTATCCCAGAATCCCCTGTTTGGCTTCCTGTGCTGTACTTTTTCTTAACATCAAGTTCACAAAAGTCATTTTTACTAATCTGGTCAGCATCAAGTTGTGAAAGTCTTTTTGTTTCTCCAATACAACTGTTTCTGTGTGTCACTTCTTTCTCTTTGTTTTTCTGAGATACACAAGATAAACCAGTCTTCCGACACCTCTCTGGATTATTCGTTATGATATTCGACGAGACCCCGTTGACGGTCGAGGCTCGGGCACTAGGACCTTGGACAGTCCCAGCACCCGAGGCGTACCGTCATAAGGCCGAAATCTCCATCATACTGGGTCGCCGAGGAAGTGCAAGACGCCTCTCTTCCGATGCGCAAGTATCTTTATCACAGTTTATTTCTAATTCGTTTTCCTTTATGGTAGTAACACTTGTTTTTGGCGTCACTGGTGAAGTTGTGCCGACTCCCATATAATGAAGGTCACTCGAGGTAGATGGAGAAAATTTTAATGTCAAATCCTCTTCTGTGATACTTGGAAGTTCTTTTGAGAAACCATCTTTTCCAACTAAAAAGTAGGTTTTCATGACTCCCTTTCCTTTCACAGTTGTTTCACCCCTATACATGATATGGTAACATCCAAACGTTTCAAGTTGATCATAAGTGACAGCACTCATGTGAATCTTCAATGCTGCAATTCAAACATATATTTTGTAATTTACTTGATGAGATAATTTTATATTTGGTTTGAAATATTAAAAAAAAAATTAGAGTAATTACTTACGTAGACCAGTTGACTCCATACGAGAAGCAGTGTTGACAGTATCACCAAAGAGACAATAACGTGGCATAGCAAGACCGACAACTCCTGCCACAACAGGACCGGAGTGTATTCCTATATAGAAGATTTAAAAAACAGTTATTTCGAAATAAAAAAAAATCTTAGTACAGAGCATAAAGGAAAGGGCTAAATATAAAATCAAACAAACTCATTACCGATTCTAATTTTCAGTTTGTTATTTGGTTGATGTGGAATGGAGAAAGAACCGATGGAAGCCATTATATCCATGGCGCAGTCCGCTATCTCTTTGGAGTGTCTATTTCCGTTACGTTTTGGTAGGCCACTTACAAGCATATATGCATCTCCAATAGTTTCCACCTGGAAAAATATAAATACTTGAATTGATTATAATGCACAAAGTTATGAAAATATTAACCAGATGTGAATAAATTTTTTCATCTTTTTAATTTATTTTATGCCCTTAATCCATTCTTTTAATATCAATATATGATCATAAATAATTAATGATATTCCGAAAAATAAAATAAGTATACAGTTGATAATATTTTACAACCCAAACAAAACACACACTATGTTATGTATGAATATGGCATTTACCTTGTAAACGTCGTATCTTGTGATGATGTCATCAAAAAGTGTGTACAGGCTGTTTAGCAAATTAACGACCTGAAATTGATAATGCAAAGAAGTTAAATGAGTTTCAAATTTGAATTAAATTTGAAAAAAATTACTTATGTATGCAATTTACCTTTAAAACAGTTAAGCTGATAGATTAAAGTGAGTAGTTTACCTGTATTGGAGAACTCCCTGCACATATTGTGGTAAATCCAACAATATCAGAGAAGTAAATTGTGGTCTCGTCGAAATGCTCGGCTTCTATCGGTTTCCCTTTCTTCAAATCGTCGGCTACAGATCTGAAAACAAATATTAATAAGTTGTTATCGGTATGTTTATATAGTTTTAAAAATTGATAGAAGGGTTGATAACGATGTATTTGAAATTTTACTAAAAGAGATTATAATCTTACTGTGGAAGCATTCTGTAGAGAAGATTCTCTGTCTTCTTCTTTTCGGCGTCCAGTTCGCTCGTCCTCTCCGCTACCAACTCTTCTAAATGGTTGGCATGCTTCTCCAAAATAGCAATCATATTGTCTATCATGGTCATCCTAAAATGAAGAATTTATCTTAAATTGTGATTAAAAAATATACATTTGATAAATGAAATAACAAAAGACTTAATTAGGGCTAATTTATTGAGAGTAGTCAAAACACCACAATCATATAGGTCCACAATGTACAACATTTCTTGTTACTATCAGTGAAATTATTTTGTCATTTTAGCAAACGTCCCGCGTAGAGGAAGTTTTATATTATATTGCAAAACTAGAAACTACACTTTGACTATTTAATCAAGACAAAGAATCATAGTTGTTTTATTATTCAAAAGAGAAATGGAGAAAGGTTTTTTTTAAAAAACATTCCTTCTTAATGATAAAAATCTGATTTCGAGGACCTTAAAATTAAAACACCTGGAAAGGAAACGTAAACATACTTTGAAGGATTTATTCTAGCTAAGGTTTTCAAAATTCTGCCAGCAGAGGGTCTGATTATGATATGCTCACTCCAGCACTCTTCGATTAAGGCGAACAAATCCTGAGACTGTCGAACATCCACGGAAAGCTTCGGGCGAAATGGAGGTGATCCGCCGACTGGGGATCTCACTTTATCGATAATCTCTGAAATATGCATTTTAATAGGTAAATTACGTAATTAACGCTAGTATATGTTTATTGAACATAAATACTTTAATTAGTAAATGTTGTACATTCGTAAATATTGTATATACTGCAAATAAATCAATATTTGTAAAAAGTGCTAAATGCATACAGTATACCTTTAATTCTGAGAAAAGAGTACTCTGTATAAGGCCCTGATCGAGTAAAGATTTCTTTGAGGATGACTCCAAGGGAAAATATGTCTGCCTTCTGTTTGTCAATCGTTTTCTCTGATCGTAGTATCTCCGGGGCAGTCCATTGAAGTTCTAATAATAATAATAATACATTTTTGATTCAGTAAAAATATATCATGTGAAATGTTTATTTTTGGGTAAAACAAAACTTACTGTCTGGGTTTTCTTCCTCCTTTTGACATTTGTCACAGTAACGAAGACTGGGTACTCCAAAATCTGCCAGTTTACAAGTCCACCTGCTGTCCACCACACAGTTTGAACTCTTCAGGTTTCCATGGAAATGTATAGAGCTCTTATGAATAAAGTCTAATCCCTGAAATGAAATCATTTTAATTATTGAAAAAATTTTTTTCTAGAATTTTGAAACTGTGAAAACTTTTTCGATAGGAACTTTAAAATCATCAGATTATCAAGGAAGAGTTACCTTTGCGATATCTTGAGACAATGCAAACATAAACATCCTGTCAAGCTTGATATTCTGGTTCCATATGACATCCTGCGAAATGATTAAAAATTGTTTATGCACGATAGTAAATCAAACGATGCACTTCGTTAATGAGTTTTATAAATGCATTATGTGGATTTTTTTATTGTAGATATTTGAGTAAAATGCCCCACATAATATATACATGTTTTAATTCCTTAATGAAAAGTAAAGGTACAGGTTCTTTTCTTTACTATGTTCATTAGTTGCACACATTTATGGCTGACTGATGTCAAAAATGGGCGATTTTATGTTTTGTTTAATAGTGTTTTTTTTTGTAAAATAAAATCAGAAGTTTGATTTGCTATAAATCTGACAAAGGAGAATGTGAGGAATAATTACAGTCAATTTCATACGAATACTTATTAAATATTAAGTTATTCATTTAATGCCTAATTCTTTTGGCCTTACTAACCTGAAGACTTCCTTTCACACAGTATTCCCACAACAGAAGGATCCGACCTGGGTCAATACAGGCCCCCACAAATGCACAGCAGTTCTGATGCTTCAGCTCCATTAGCTAAGGAAAAATATTATAGAATATAAATAAATAATGAAATTCAAACATTTAAGTCGTCAAATAATGTCTATGCGTTCTTTGTTCCTTAATCAGAACTTCTCCAATAGTCTTTTGTCATTGTTTCACAGCTTAGAAGACAAAATAATAATACATTCTTATTCACTTAGAACATGTAAACGATTAAGATAATTATGCATGAAAATAAATTTCTGAAATCGGATAACCATCAAAAGCGAATAAAAATGAAGTTATGTGGCATAGCATTTTCACCAAGATTATGATAACAATAAAGAAAATCGACATACGGTAAAATCATTTATTCGTAGAAGCATTTGTTTTGCAAAGGCCCAGGAACAATTGCATTTGAATAGGTTTTATAATAATACATCTGTTCCCATAACGATGTATATTAATATTCCTTAAGATAACTGGGATGAAGTGTAATTTTTTTGAAAATCTAATTTAAAAACAGAAAATGCATTCAGCATTTTTTATTTTTATGTATTATATGTAAAACAGCTAAAATAGGGAAATATGAGTAATAGCTCGTGAAAGAGGCATTACATTTTTATGGAAAAATTTTTTGTAACATTTTGATACATTTTTGTTTAATTTATCTAAAGTAAGAAACTTTTCCTTACCCTATTCAGCTCCTGTAATATTTGCTTTGGCATGTTCGTCAAGTTAACATTACTCCTGGTCAATCTCTTGACAGATACAAGACTTCCTAAAAAATAAATATGCACATTATTATTATTACACAATCAGTTTTTAAAATACAGTGATGAAATGCGCCTTTGAAAGAGAATAATTCTGCATAAATATGTAAAAATTATACGTTCACACGAAATCTTCATCCCTGTCATTTTCTGAAGTGATGGAAATGAATTTAATATTCTCCTTTGTTTTATATTAATTCCAATTTACATATATTAAATACTTACCTCTGATGTAAGCTACAGAGCCAAACATTGTACCCTGTTCCGGTTTACTAAGAAAAGCGGGTGAGTGATCCGGGGAAACCTTTAATTCACTCTGTAATGGACTTTCTGTTCTGCTGGGACGAGATTTCCTCTTGTTACCGCTCCCTTTTCTTCTTGCAAGGTTCTTAAAGCTAGACTTATGTGAGAACAATATCTTTGGTTAAAGTTTTGGAAATATCTCAAAATAGGAAAAAGTACAGGAAATACAGGAAATATTTAATTCTTTGGATTAAAAAGGGTATGTACATGTATGTCGTATAATGATTTCATATGTGAAAGACCATTCGAAAAATTATTCATTATGAAATATGCAATTTAAAGATATATCCCGATTAATAATCTATTGATTTGCTGGACTAGAGCTTTAACAATAGCTAATTAAATGAAAATAATTTATTATTATAATAATTAATTATTATTAATAAAATAAATTACCCTGACGCTGCCAGTCAGGAGAGCAGTAACAAAGTCAATTTCCTCAAATCGCACCTGCCAGATCATACTCTTCAAAGTCTTGATTCTTCTGTAACGCCTTAATAAAAAAAAGTTCATATAAAAGATACTTACTATTCTATAAAGTATTTAAAAATGTCTATAGCTTCCAAAATTAAGAAACAAAAGAATTGATCCTTATTCTAATAAAATCGGAAAAAAATATATAATTTAAGGTTAAAATGCACAAGTCCTTTATAATTTCCCCCGTTCAAATAAATTTAATCCTGAACCAGAATTCTTTTAGGTATTTTCCCTCTGAATTTTCCTATTGAAAAATATATCTTCTTGTTTTATTGTTTTGGTACTAATTTAAACACTTGCCACCAAGGCGTGTATTTCATTTCATTGTCTAGTCGTTAAGTGCGTTAATGTGTTTTTAAAGAAGTAAATACTTATTTTTCAAAATGTCCTTTCTAAATTAAAGAAACACTAAAGAAATAAGACACATTGTTTATAATCCTTCTTACTTGAGAACGCAGTGTACGATGATTGCAACTATGACAACAAATCCAGAAGCAGCAGAAGAGAATACAATGATGAATGTGTTATCTAAAATAACAAAAATAGACAGCAATATAAAATCCATACCAAGAATATATTTTTTACTTATCTATGCAAATTGAAACTAGACTTTTTCTTAATTATTGTTAGCAAATTGCTATTTACATGTAAATAGGCATAAATATTACAAAATGTAAGATCAGTGTTCATAAAATTATGAACTTTAAAATTAAGTTTATATTAATATGATTTAATTTAACTAAATAATTCAATTAGATAACAAATAGTATTCAGGCTCAAAAGTCCATTAAAAATAAAAATCAGGAGCAGAGCATTCATGGACCTCTAAAACATCTGAGGTGGGATCAAGTGTCATGGAGGAATGAACATCTCCACCGAACAATCACTCATGTAATTGATATATATAGACATATTTTCTTTATATAACTTTATCTTGCATTTTCATGATCAGAACTGAAGTATATTGTTAATTTGAACGTGCTATGATACCATCAGGTGTAAGTGATGATAATTATATAATGTGATTATAATTATAGAGTACAAATGTAAATATTTCCTAGTTACACATTAAAAGACAAAAGTACATATATCCTATTTCCAGTCACTCAGATAAAAAATCGTTTAGGAGAAAAAGCGAGTGATATATATAATTTCATTTGCATATCGTATTCTCAAACAGATCGCTATTCTAGTGATGAATTATATAGCGCTTAACCAGATTCAACGCTATCATTGCCTTCCTCTTTACTACGGATTACCCGCGGCACATAATTAATGACTTATCAATATCGCTTTTGTTTTTCCCCGGAAAAAAAACCGCAAGGAAGGAGGTTATTAATGTGACATGTCACAGCATCATAACTATGGTCATTCATTTTATCTGAAGCAACTTGTCGATAGACTTATTTTGATTTTAAACTATAAATAGTTGAGGAATTACCTGGTTGTTCATTTTCCTCAGGGCATTTCTTCCCATCAAATCCGCATTCAGGTTCGTCAGGAGGGGCATTGTGAACACCGATTTTATCATTTGGCCATCGACTCACTTGGTCTGTTGTCTTGTTGCCCTTTGAAGATAACTTTTTGTTCTCATATGACATCAATGGCAAACGACATTTGAGAATTTCTAACCATAATAATTAAATTTAATAATTAAATAGAAGAAAGCAGGACCTACCTATTTACATATATTTTATATCTTCCCCTAGATATTTTGATCAAAATACTTGGTTTTATATGACGATTGAAAAATAATATAAAATTAAAGAAAATTTAAAATATGAGGTACATAATGCATAAACCACCATAATTATAAAAAATAAAATATTACAGTTGACACATATTTGAATTCTTTTTATTACGTCTCAAATATGCACATTCAATGAACATGTAGATTCCCCCTCTCTCCATTTCTTTCACTTATCTAAAACCAATGCTTAGGAAGTTTTTACATACATTCATAAATTATTTTTAAATACGAACATATGAGATTTATGTAGATTTTTGTAAAAAAGACGTTATTTTTCAATGAATAGTTTTTGGTCTTCATAATAAAACTATGAATAGTACAGATAACATTGGAGATATAAAAAAAGAAAGGGTATTTGAAGGAAACGTGGACGATAGTAAAATGATAAACGTTGTAAGACTTAATTCAATTTTATGATGTTGTGTAAACAAGGATCGAATGCTACATGTATCAGTAGTATTGTCACGTAATGGACCATTTAAATACACAGGAAAAACCCCATAAAACAAAGAAATGCATACGTACCTCAAAATTGACCTCTCTGATGCCTTTCCCGAGATAATTAATGGTGATAATTCTTGTGAATGTGCCATTTTCAGACATGTCAAGGACTTGAAAATCAAGATTTCTATCCCCCTTGTCATCTAAGTTAACTCTTCCAGTAAGTCCGTCAATTTCCTCTGGAAATATCACATTTTTTTAAAACTTAAACAAATTGTTACTTTAAAGACGAGATTTTACCATTTGTAAAAGGAGTTTTTGGTCTGAAGTCAAAGATCAGTGATCAATATTAAATTCCGTTAAATATAACAATTATTTAAATACCTTCTTCTGTTAATGTTGCTGCCATCTTAAACATGTATTCTCCATCATGAGGATTTTTATTCTGTTTTAAGATTTTATCGGCCAACATTGCCCACATTAATGTTGCATCGTAAAGATATGGAGAATAGGCATCGGGCTGAAAAACAATTAATTTACACTAATTATCTTTAATTACCTTTTTATTATCAATAAAGGAATCAGAAGTATTTTAGAAATTACATATAACCCAGGTGATAAGCCCCTTATTTTATAATTTATTTAAAACTGAGCAACAAAAATACAAATGGAACAAATGAAAACATTGAATAAATGTGTAATTTAAAGTTTTTTTTTCTCCAAAATTAAATAACCCATCTTTACAAAATTTTATATCATCTTTGTAACTGCGGGAATAAAAGATAAATAACTTTTACACCGTATTTGTGCTTCGATTTATAAATGAAAATCATCCCATCGACTTCATAAAACTTAGTACTTACTGAGGTATGCTCGATAGGAAGATTCCAGTTGGGATCAGTTTTATCGCCATACTCATCAGCAACAGCCTTGAAAAGTGTCCAGTTATTTTTCTCGAGAGGTTTCATCATAATCTATTTGATATTCAAAATTTTATGATTTCATGAAAACAGCATGTTTTTCGGACATCAGAGTAAGAGCAATGGAATACATAATTTTGGGTGAGCTTATCAAAAAAAAAAAGTGTTCAGTCAAAAAATTAACCTATGATTTCATTTGAATTAAAAGAAAATTAGTACATGTACTAGCATGTCCAACGTTGCAGTATTAATCGATTTCATGTGCATTGTATAATTTTTTTTGTATTGTAAAATTTTCTATCCATTTAAGATTTATGTTTCAGTTTGTAGTACTTCATATTCATTTGTATTGCAAAGTTTCCTATTTGAATTCTATAATGTAATTTTCCATTTGTATCAATTAGTTTTTTTTGTTTGTATTGAATATTTTTTTCCTATGTAGTGTATAATTTTTCTTTTGTAATGTACATTTTTTCCTTTTATATTCAAAACTTTTCCATTTCTATTGTAAAATTTTACATACGTATGAAAATTATGGAATGCAAATAGAATCATACCATATAAATGAAATCTAAAGGAATACAAATTTTATGATATATTTCAAAATATACAAAATGAAAAGAAATTTTCACCATATAAATAAAAAAATCATTCTATTAAATGGCAAAGATCGAATATTGCAACTTGTCAGATGCAATACTAAGGTGCCCAAAAAGTGAAGTAAAAGTGTTTACATGCAATACTGGTTCAAACGCCTGCTTTGCTATCTCGTCAATCGAGTCATTTCTTCTCCAAACCCTGTCAGAAAACACATCAGTTTCCATTCTATCGTACGTATAGAGCTACAATCAGAAATGTATCATAATTATGTCTGTGATGTCATATTTTAATTTTAAGGAAAAGAGAGTGGAAACATATGCCCAAAAAGTACATGTGCACATATCAGAATTAACGTACATCTCCATGGATGCAGAGGAAAGCATACTCTCCATTTGTCATCCCAAGTCTATGGGCAACTAACATGTATCTCCGCATATCTAACCAGGGTAATGCCATCACGATAACTGCAAGACAAAGGAGTCCAAGATTATCCTTAGTCATTCTTTAATTCTTTTAAAATAACAAGCCATTTTAAGCTTTTCGAACATAGCAATATTCAATTTTACATGTAATTATAATACATTTGACCTGTTTTAACAAAATATTTCTTTAAAAATATATCTATGGAAATTTCTTTTAAATTGCTCTTCATCCCATACATATGTAATCAATTAAATATAATTTAATAAAAAATGTCTTTTAAAATTACTTTCAACCTATACAATTTTTCATTATAAGATTTTTGTATAATATAAGCAAAATGACATCGTACTTCTTGAATATCGTTTTAATTGAATAAACATGTCTTCTATCTCTTTCTCTTCCATGTCATTGGAAACCTTGAACGACCGTATGATGCTGTACCAGTTCTTTGTTTCATCCTCGTCGTTTTCGATGGATTTTTTCTCCGAAATGGCAGATGCCACAGCTCGGTATGGATCCCTCTCATCGTACATCACAGCAAATTGATTCCATTTGAAGAGGGACGTCATATGGAACATAACACCAGCTGGAAGAAAAAGATTGAAAAAAATATACATATGTCTATTAAATGAAATCTTATAATTCCTTGGAGCATTGTGTCATGCAGGCGCTGCAATAAATATACCCCCTAGATCCAATTTCAGAGTATCCCTTTTTAAACTTTTTGTCATACTCTGACTATAAAACTCTTAATTCAAATATGTCCGAGGACTGTTTATTTCTCTTTAGAAAGGTGATTAAACCCATTCTAGATTACACCAAGACAAAGACATAACAATTTATTTTATACTCCATATTGTATAATGAAATAGGTTTGCTGTTTCAATTTCGGAATTTTATAAAGTCGAAAGAATAACTAAAGATTCCTTATACAGGACCCCAAGGACTAAAAGAATACACATAGTCGTCATCAGTTTCTCTAGATAAGAAAAAAAGAGAGAAGTTAAAACAAAAAAGCAAAATTCATGCAACCAACTTCCTACAATATATTCTGATAAAAGATTTAAGATATGAGGTATCAGTAGTACTAAGTTTTGAAAAAAAATTTTTTGGAAAAGAATTTTGGAAAAGTTTTGGAAAACAACATTAAATTTTATTTTCTAATAAAATTTAAGGATACTTCCCCTCTGAATCAAAATCATATTGTTGAAACGAAATTTTGTACTTACGAAATCGATTTAGGGGTCCAAGAAACCGTACCAAGGTCGAATACATTTTTTTGTCTTGAAATTCCTCTTCTTGTGATACCCATCCAAAAATCGGTGTGTTCCAATGGGAGGCGAGGAGGGCAACCCCTCTCATACCTAAAACAAACAATACAGGATAATTATTTATCAAAATAATATCTTTAAAAATTCAATAACTTTCATTCTAGAATCGATTTTGGAAATAATTCTTGTTCGGAATTAAAAAAAATCGTTCTTGGAAATAATTGTAAACGTTTCTTTTAGTTTTTATAATAGCCTCTCAAAAGTTGTTTAGTGCTGTCACTTATTTTGCACTTATCTTGATGCACATGTTGAAAATACTTTATAATACCTGTAAATTACTCTGTAAAACTATTCCCAGTATCGACTAATCGAATAAATGATACATTGGTCTTTGGGTATATTTTTCATTAAACAAGCATGTTTGTGGAAAATTTTTTGCAAATTTTTACTATTTCAATATAACTGTTGTTCATATTTGCAATAAAACTAGCTTTTTGAAGCAAAAGTATCCTGTACAATAATTTCTTCATAATACTCTATAAATGAAATATTTCTTCTTAAAAATTTTAAAACTTTATTTTGGTCTGATCATAAGGGTTTAAATTAGTATAATAACACATTTTACCAGCAAAATAAAATTCTCAAAAATGCAGCTCATATTGCTTTAAACTAAAAATAGAATTTGCCACATGTATGTCTATTCTACAAACGGTTGTATTTCTGGTGGGTTTTAGTTCTACGAGAATGATTCATTAATACTCTTTTTTTACTCATTAAATTAAGTGCAATGTCTGAATGTTTACACCTGAAGGCTTAGACTACTGACGCAGTTCACTTTCCAATGCAATGCTTTATCTAATTTGTCCTGTAAATTAATGCAGTAAATATTCATGAAACGGAGAGATATGAACAAATGCATATTACAAAATTTGAATGAAGTATCCTAAGAAAAACCAAACACTTTTCTTTTAGAAAATTGGTTTATACAAACAAAGATGCTTTTTTTGGTAAATGGCTTTTTCAACCTATCTATTTTCTTTATTTAATTCAGTTTGTGGAAATTGCAAAATTTTAAGATTTCAGTCAAACCATTTAGACAATATTCACCTTATTTCACACAGAAAATAAAGGTAATTATTGAGAATTTATTTGCATACTTTTAC